GGGAGTTCAACGCCGGCAAAGTAAGTCTATCCATTTGATAGGGAAAATATTGGGGCCCATCACGAAAAGCGGCCAACCCTTCGCCAAAAGGAGGCGCCGAGAAAAAATGGCCCAAAGGGCTAGAGCGGAGGCGCACAGCAACCCTGTCCCCCAGCGCGGGGGCAGCGCCTGCTACTGCCGAGGGATTAGCCGCGCACCCGGGCCAAAGCGCCCCGGACCAAAGTGTCTGACGCGAAGAGCGAGCGCCCGGAACTTCGCGGGTGCCGGTTGGTCGACTCGTAGGGGCTACGGTGCACGAACACCGGCCGAGCCGCGAGAGGGTTTACGAAACACAGACGCTGGCGCGGAGATCTCTCTGGGGAAGTAAAGGCCTCCCGCCACGCTCCGTGGCAAACTTATGAGCCGTAGGCGCAACGACCGGCGCCGGCAAAGACCCGGGCCCACCGAGCCTCCAGCCTACTGTGCTGCCACAGCCCTAAAAAGTGTAACTCACTACTGAACAAGAAACCGCTAGAAACAGAAACAGACTAGAAATGCCCTCAAGCGTTAACCCAACACCGCGCCCCTCCTTAAGAGCGGGGCACAAGCCCCACTGTAATAGGAAGACCACGAGAGCGCTCCAGGCGCTTGCTCCTAGAGCAAGCGGACGCCTTCCCCCAGTCCGACCCGATGGTCGTCGGACCCTGGGGAGCGGCCTCCCGGGCTCTTTGCCTCGGTGGGCTTGGCGCTCCCAATAGCAGTGAGAGACGGCCATCTTTGTCGCACCTTGGTCTTGGTCAGAAAGGCCGGGACCATCCAATTCCAACCAAGGACGCGGCACTGGAGCAGAGGCGTCGGCTACGGCTTCTGCCTCGGGGTGCCCCTTGGCGTGGTGCAGGCATCGGCTGAAGGTGGCAGCCACCCTCTCCCTGAACGTCCTCGAAAAGGGTGAGCGAAAAAAAATTTTTTGGGCACCAAAGGGGGCCAACCCCTTGACCCCCTCTCTTTTCATTCTAGCGCTTCGGACGCGACTAGTATCTCCATGCTAGGGTTTCGGACGACCCCCGTTGCGCCACCCCCTTTGATCCCATTCTAGCGCTTCGGACGGGGCTCGAATGGAAGCTCCTAGCCGCCCGCCAGAGCGCCGCAGGCATGCAGGCAGACACTACTAACTGCCTGGCGATCCCTCTGCCAATGAATGCGCCACCAGGTGTCCGCAGTGTGTGAGGTGGCACATTCCTGGAGACTCCAGACGCATCGATCGCGGGGGCCCTCCCATTTCTTGGGCGCCTTCCGTCCGGTGTTCGGGTCCGCTTGCTGGTCCGTTGGCGCTTGCAGTTGCAAAGCGTTGCGGCTTGCTGGTAGAGCGGGGCAAGCTCGTGCGCCGTGGCCCTTGGCCCGCGCGTGGGGACGGGGGAACTCAGAAACGCAGCAAAGGCGGCCCCGCCTGAGTGACCAGATCAGCTTGCAAGAACGCAAAAGGCGAGCCTCAATGTGCAATTTTAGTTTTTTTCTGATTCTAACGCTTTCCCCTTTAATGTCGCCAGTAGCTTTAAGACCCCCGGGGGTTAAGTATCCAGCTTGTGTATGCACTGGAGGAGCTTGTCCAGGAGGTGGTTAGACTAACTGGCGAGTTGACATAGGCGAGAGAAGAGGCACGCTCTCTGGAAGGTTCCTGGACGAGTCGACAAAAAATTCCCCCAGGGGCCAACCAAGCCTAAACCCAAAAGATGACGACTGCCACACAGCTAGACGCTTGCCAGACAGTGACAGAGCACGGCAAAGACCGCCGCGAGCTCCACGGCGCGGTCTGCAACTTCGTCAACCGTGTACGAGCACAGTTAAACTCCGAATCCTACGGTCAGTCCAGAGGTTGCCACCCGAGTGGGAGCAACTGATAGCCACCGAGAAGCTACAGCCGACCGCGGTGGCTAAGCGACGAGAGCAAGCCACCGCCTTGCCCAGGCGCTTGAAAGCGCAGACCGAGCAAGCAAATGCAGAGCCGATAAACGCCACTGCGCCGGAGCACCTAAAGCGAGCGCCTCAGACAGCCAAGACAAGGAACGCCATCGCAATGAGAAAGCCCACCGCACTGACGGGCCACCCGGCAAAGTCGCTACCGGGCGACATCCTCCACGGATTTCAAACGATAAGCGAAGACAAAGGCGCTGGCCTCTGGAAAGCGGACGCGAATGCCGCGGAAGCAAAGGGCCTCAAGGAGTTCGACAGCACCGCGCCCGCGGCAAAAATCCGCGACGCGCCCCCGAAAGGGTTCCCAGGAGAAGCGCCACGGCAAGTCCTCAAAAACATCGAGGCAGGCGCCCAGCTGGGGCCGGGCAGGTGAAAGGAAATAGATCCAGCGGACCTCAAGGCCATGCCGGCGCACGCCTTCCCAAAGCCAAAGGTGGAGCCGGAGAAAGTTCGGGCGATAATCGACGAGAGGTGGAGAAACGACCTCGCGAAGATGACAGAGAAAGCATGGCCTCATGGCACGCGAACGGTCTCAGAAATCGCCGAAAGTTACACGGCACCCAAGCCCTCGCCTTTCGCGCACCGGTGACCCAGTTCACTCCAGACATCTGCGGGCAGGTGGCCAAAGAGGTAGCAGACTGCCGCGCAAAGGCGAACGCTTGCGAAGCCATGCCACGCACCAGCGAAGATCGCCAACTCGGCGAACAGGTGAGGCTCCTCAACGAAGAGAGAACGAAAACCCAGCCGGCTGGTAGAAAGCCTTGCATCGCACTCCGAGACTCGAGTGAGGCATACAACCAAGGAGGGGCACAACACCCAGAAGAAAACCCGGCAGGGGTCTGGGACGACGCCCAAGGACGCTGCCGCATGTTCCTCGCAGCGATAGCGATACTGAACATGGGAAACAAGCTCAGTGGCAGCAGCTGGCGCAGAGTCAGTGGCGGAGCTGGTCATGAAAGTAATATAATGGCCACGCTCAGGCACACAGTAGCGCCGACCTACATCGGCGACGCCATCACCCTCAGCCTCGAAGAAGGGGCGGGCGAGGCGATAGAGGCACGCGAAGCCCTCTGTGACTGCCGGGGGCTGGAGCTCGCAACAAAAGCTGCGGCACAAAAAGACTCCAGAAAGGGTCCAGCTGTGCGCACTTTGGGCCTCCACGCACTATGACACAAGCCCAAAGGCGGGAATTGATGTCGTGGCGCCGGACAAAATGCTCCAGCAGTTGGCGGAGGTCGCGAACGAGCTCCGGCAGAAGGTTAACGCAGGACAGCTGGACAAAAAAGCAGTCCGGCGGCTGCTAAGCCTAAGGCTAGCAAACTTCGTCAAAAATATCCGCAGCAAACAGAGCGGGGAGGGAAGTGAAATAGTGAGGGCCCTCTACGCGTGGACAGAAGGCGCCACCTTCGACAAAATGGCGAAGCAGAGGTGGCAACGAAGGGCACTGCCCCGCTCCACAGCGGCCATCGAGCAGATAGCCCACAAGGTAAACGAGCGCAGAATCAGGCTAGATCTAGAACAAATAGCGAAGCCCCTGAGTTTCCTGCTCGCCGACGCGTCTACGGATGGCGGGCCGAACGGCGGGCCGGCGCTCAGATACGTCACGACTCACCACAGCGGCAAAACCCTCACCCAAGTGCAGCCTCTAAGAGACAACCGAGGGGGGAGCGCCAGAACAGAGGATCTGGAGGCAGCCGCAGTAAGCCTCGCCGCAAGACAGCTCCAAAACTGGACCAGCAGCCCCGACCTTGTAGTGCTGATTGACAGCAGGCACGCCAGTGCTCTACAACTTCACCAAATGCAGCGGCAAATCCGCGGTGGTAGCAAACACCGCGGGGGTTGTAGGCGTAGTAAAGTAAACCACTGGCACAGCAACAACGTCAAGCCGCCGCGCGTCTACGTAGAGTCCGAATGGAACTCGGCGGACTACATGACCAGACACGGCAACAGCAAGCGCAACCTGTTCACCGACATCGTCCCAGCTCTGCAGACAGTTCAGCAGTCCACTGGCGCCCGGCTATGTATGGCTGACTGAAGTATGTGATGAACGCCTGCCGGCCCCTGCCGTCGCTGCCGCTATGGGAGTTCGTCCCCCCCCTGCGAGTGACAAGCGCGGCGGAGGGCGGCAGCCGCCCCGGCACACCACTGACGCGGGTGCTGGCCGGCGGGAAGTCCTGACGCAAACTTGTGCAACCAACGGCCAGCACACGTCCTCCCCTCGCAACCCCCTCTCGGCGGATGCGAGTCTCAGGCCGCCGACTCAAATCTGCACCAGGAATCCGGAGGCTGGTCGGGGTCTCCGGAGGAAGGTGCCGATGGGGAAAAGGTAAGGGCTCGGAGCGGTCCACTCGCCAGCACTGGCACGAGTCAAACCGAGGCCAGAGGTTGAGCGGGAGCGCAAGCCCCGGTAGTGGGCCGACAGCGCGGGCTGGAGGTTTAAAGCGACCCTGTCCCCCAGCGCGGGGGCAGCGCCTGCTACTGCCGAGGGATTAGGTTAGCCGCGCACCCGGGCCAAAGCGCCCCGGACCAGAGTGTCCGACGCGAAGAGCGAGCGCCCGGAACTTCGCGGGTGCCAGTTAGTCGACTCGTAGGGGCTACGGCGCACGAACACCGGCCGAGCCGCAGGAGGGGTCACGACACGCGGACGCTGGCGCGCAACTCTCTCGGGGGAGGTAAAGGCCCCCCGCCACGCTCCGTGGCAAACTTATGGGCCGCAGGGTAGGCGCAACGACCGGCGCCGGCATCGGCCCGGGTCTGCCGAGCCAGCCCACTGCGCTGCCACAGCGCTAAAAGGTATAGCTCGCCAGGAGCTTTAGGACCCCCAGGGGTTAAGTCTCCAGTTTGTATATGTATAAGTGAGGCCGTTCATTGGAGAGCTGGAGTGTCTATTCGATAAACTGAAATAAGCGAGTAACTAGGGAAAATAAGGGAGACACTGTGAAAGAGGAGGAATGTAGTCAAGAATAAGCGAGTAACCAGGGAAAATAAGGGAGATACTGTGAAAGAAGAGGAATGTAGTCAAGACTCTCTTATTTCAGTCAGTAACTCGGTTATTTTAGGTCTTTGAATACAACGAAATCGACGTCCTTGTTCTCCTCAAATCCTACGGAAAGGCGAAAGGCCCTGCACACCACCTTCTTGGAGTTGAACTTAAAACGACGACTTTCCCCGGCATTGCAATTGCATGTAACGTGGAAATGTTGGTCGAAAGACTGAACAGGTTCCCTGATACTCTGGCTAAAATGATTTTTTGATGCTAAAAAATTCACCATTTCTTTTGGATCATCCCAGGAAGGTGCATCAGCATCAGGCTGCTCGTCAAAGTTCGTGCCCGGCGGCACGTAGTAGATGAATCCTACTTCCATAGATTCAGCCAATGCATTTGCTGCGCCCCTCGCATCACCACGCCAATGTTCCTCGAAGTTTAACTCGGACAATGCCATATTCAGGTTCAAATTGCGAAATTGACTGTCGATGATCTTGGTGTCCGCGGAAGGGTCATACTCCTCCTTACGTTTGCATATGGCAAGAAGTACCTGGGAAAAGAAAAAAGAACAAAAGTGGATGCAGATGGTCATGATGATAGAAGGAAGAGGGAAGAAAATGAATGAACTAGATACAAAGAACAAGGAAGGCAAAGTTCTACGTTCCTCTCAAAGGTTGGCCCCCCTACGCAACACTCTAACACTTCTCATTTCATCAGAAATTTTTCGTTGTCGTTCTTTTAAACATAACACAAATACGCTTCCATCTTCGAGAAAGCGAAGCTGATTTGCCCAAGACAGCAAGTCTCGACTCGCTTCCGCCAACGTGGGTGCGGGCCCCGCTTGCGAAGGATGCAGCGGCAGCGGAAGGACAATGTCGGCTCCGCCTTTTGCGCCAGTCTCGACGAGGCTGAATGATTTTCCAGGTTGTGCTAGAGCTCAAAACAGTTCACCTCTTCCCTTCATTTGCTTCAGAATCCTCCGAAGAAAACAGAAGAAAATGACAGTTGGAAATGAATTGTATCGAGCCTTAATTGTCGGAAGCTGATGCGGTACGTCTGCATCTGTTTATTTCCGCTGTTCTCGGTCCTCGGACTAATTATGCCTACATAGTTGTCGACAAGGTCTCCTAACCGAAGCTGCACACGAAGACTTATCGCCTCGCTTGCAGTGTTGAACTTCAAAAAATAATTAACTGCATCCGTATCGGCATCGCTGTTCGCAAAATGAACTTTTCGCTTCGGCTCCTTGCTCTCAGCACGATGGAACCTAAAAGGGGTAGCGTTCTTTGACTGATGGCGAAAATAGTATTCACAAATATGCAAGATGGACGAGAGAAAGTGCCGACACCGACGCTTATGCTAGAGCGGGTTGCGGTGTCGTGTGTATCGTAGGGTTGGGCGGTGGGTGTGGTCAGACGGTCACCCAACGTGGTCATGCGGTGGGCGTCACCACGCGGCGGCCGTGGTCACGCAGCGCGCATGGTCGGGCGGACGGATGTCACGCGGGCAACCCTGGGCGGCGTAGATAGGCGGCTGGTGCGCGCAAGCGGCGCGGCCAGGCGTCGGGCGGCCTGGTCTGGCGGTGCGTGTGGTCTGGCGGTGGCAAAGTCATTATCGAGATGGCCTGGCTAGTTCAAGGTCAGGCGAGGCCGTGCGCGTCAGGTTGTGCGCGTGCGTTGAGCGGCACAAGAGGGCAAGCGGTGGCCCGTGTCATGCGCGCGGCAAGCCAGGCAACCAAAAGCCAGAGTCAGGCAGCTGGCCACGGCGCGCGCGTCCGCTTCGTTGGCCCCGTCACGCGGTTGACCCCGCGGGGCGCGCAGTAAGCCGTGTCAGGCGGGGGGCGCATGCTCAGGCGGTGAGCGGAAGGCGCGCACTTTCTTCATGGGTTTGCTCCTGGTGGCCTTGCCCTGGCGTGCTGCAATAGTTCCGGGCGTCAGCACGCATCACGCAAACGGCGCGAAGCAGACAACACGACGCCGAGCCTCTGCCGCTTGTAGCGACTGGAGGCTAGCCATAATGGCACTTCATTGTTTGCAGCTCGGTCTAGTACGCATGTGCATATGCAGTTCCAATCGGTTCTACGTTATGGTGGCACGCCAGGCCTAGGGGCGGGTGGAGAAATACTTGGATCGCTACAGGACACCACGGCCAGCGGTTGCCACTGGACAAGCAGGACATTCTGGCACGTAGGTCCCGGGGCGGTTACGGTTAGCCGCCTCGACAGCCAAACAACTTCGCATGCGGAAAAACTGACTGGACAAATGGGAAATGCAACTCAATACCCGGAAAACAACGGGGTTGGGCTTGGTTAGCTATCAGAAGCAGCGGAATACATTCCAACATATCCAAAATTTTAGTTACATCTACAACTACATCTAAAAATAGTACTCGAGTCCGCTTTCCCCGTTTGCTGCACCTGACACGCCAGCCGTATATATCACAGCAGGTCCTACATGTTGTTGTGACTGTTGCTGGTGGAGCTCTTGCTTTACTAGTTCGTTCCCCACTACTAAAGAGCTTATCAGGGCTTGCTGCTGCCATTGTACTATATTTAGTGATGTTTGTAGAGCCATCCACTGCTGCTGTATTCTGGTTAGTGATTCTTCGAGGCCCTTCCACTGCGCTTCGATGCTACTGCGCAACATTCGCATTGATGTTGAAGTTAATGCTGTTTGTCTTCTTGTTGCTTGTTCTTGCGTCTGCGACTGCTTTTCTATAAAGGTCGGCTGAAGTGGAAGTGCAGGGTCCGCAAATATCACCTGCGCTCCCCTGAGCCACTGCCTAAGCCCCTGAAAAATTTCTAAAAAGCTTTTTCAACTCAACACAGTATTACAGAGAATTGCAGAACCTATTCTAGATTTCAGACAAACATGTGTAAACTCAATTTCCGCTAAATTTGAAGCATCAACCAAAGCACATTTTGGATGAGGTGTTTTGCTTGACAATTTCAAATTTTTCAGGGCACTTTCGCGGCTCGGGGACGCCCAACTCAGTGCGTGTGCGTCAGAGCCTCACACCTAATAACAGTAGTTGCTAGTCCTGCCTCCTCCATAGGCGACAACGAAGCGTCTGCAGATATTATGGCAGCGAAACTCGACGCTCCGTCTTCGCTTCTTCCGGTGTGGGTTACCTCTCTGGGTTCGTTCTCATCTTCACGCGCTTCGCGGTTCCACTCGGGAGCTGGCGTTCCCCGGTGCGCGACCTCCCTCGCAACAGCCACTGAGGACGGCGCAAGGCCCAACGACGCAACTACTACTACTGCACGGGGAAGTGATCTACTCCCAGAGAACGGTCTCGACTGGGAGAGCTGGATGCTTCGCCTTCCCTCATGTCCTCTATGCCCATCGAGGATAGAAGGACAAGCAAAATCTTCCATCTTGGTAATGCCTGTCACGTATCCGTTCCGGGATGGAGAACAACTGGATGAAGATCTTCGGAGATGAGAGTGGGACTGGGGCAAAGACTCAAGTGACAGAGGTGGGCAAGCACTCGCAGCCCCAAAAAGTTAGGTCCGTTCGAGGGGTTGGGAGCACTTCTAGATGCTCCAAGGGGCTTCCGAAGCCGCGTGCAACAAGAGCCGGCCTATTTGTAGGAGAGTCGCAACGTCGCAGTATTCAATCTTCCATACAACGCCACAAAATGGGTGCTTCGTCAGGCATCTCGGTAGCGCGTTGTGGAATGCGTGCCAGGTGTCCGGATCGATCCGTCAAGCTCAGGATGACATTGTTTTTCACTCCCAAATCGATATCCACACACAGAAAATAGTTTTGCTTTTCAAATTCAATCCGTCCCATTCGTCGTCTGTCCCCTAATCTAATCGATCCTGATATTGAGTGTTAATCTACAACAGCAACTGCTCTTGTAGTAGGACATTGACTAGTTCAGAACTATTGCAAATATTTATCAGTTCTCCTTATGATATGCAAGCAACTCAGTGATGCTTCTTATGAAGTAAAAGATATGCAAGCAACTCCGTCTGTGCATGGTCTCAATCCCTTTGCCTCTGCCTCTAAGGGGGGCTCTCTTGTTGCCGCAGGATAACAATCGAAAACACATGAGGAACCATTGCCTCTGAAGTTCCGCGGGCTTCGCTTTCGGAGAGGGGGTTCTTCTATATATTTAATATATTTCCTAGACGTAGCAATAGCTGCCTCGTCAAAGATGTAATAGTCCATTTGTGATGATTCTTCGCAGTGTCTTTTGAGGGGGAGGGGTACAAGATTCCTAAATCCTCGCTATGATTATAGCCCGTTTGAATCCACCTAACGACTTGCCTTTTCATCTTGTTCACGCAGAAATTCAATTCAGAAACATCGTATGCCCTGTCAAAACAAAAAACGCAAATGAAACACAGTTCATCAATGGTAGTGGAAGAAGGAACAGGAGTTGTAGTCTCGCCGTGGCAAGACACGGATAAGGATAAACATTAGCTTTGTAGTCGTGGCTAACATAAACAACATGTAGTTCTTAGTATTAATTGTTAATTCATTGAAAAGAAAAGGGGTACAGGGTTCAGGATTCAAGTAAGAACTGCAAAAGCGATATACACGAAGGCGACTCTATGGAAATTTGCGATGACAGTATACGTATACGACCACGACGAACCGAACTACTGTTACTGCAGCCACTGTAAATCGACTCGCACTTGTTGAACTCCGTAACATTTTAGAACTATCCGAATACGGTGAAAATGTAGGTAATGGACGTCGTTAGCCAAGCTGGATCATCTTGAGCAAGAGGAGGACGTTGAACTCGAGAGGAAGAAAAAATATATAGCGAGTCTTCTACTCTTTTCCGGATGTTCTTGAAAATGTCTTTAAACACGAGAGCAGGGGCGAAACATCAGCATTACGATTACCCGGGTAATTAAGTAAAATTTCCGTAATGAAGACGACATAAATAAACGCTGTTGGTGTCCTTATCCGTGCTTGCGAAACAAAAAATGCAGATACTAATCGAATCCAAAATATAATCACTGTAAAGCAGGAGCGGTTTCACGATGAAGACCAGGTAAAATCAGGGGTTGTAGGGAAGTAGCAGGGGTAGCCGGTGCCGGCTTCTCAAAATCTTGTCTAATTAAACTAACAATGTAAAAGGATGAAAAAATAAAAAGAAACTAATAAATAGTTCAAAACTTTAGCACAGAAAAGACAAGGGACTAAGTATTCCACTTAGTTAGAAGCAGTGATGAAGGCAGTTATTCTTCCAGAATTGTGTTTTCGAATCCAAATTCGTGTTTGCATTGAAACCACATTTTTATCTAGGGAAGATGAGCTACACCAAGACGCCCAAGGCTCATCTTATTCACATGGCGAAAACTCATGACCTATTCTCCTTTTGCGAAGCCCCATTGGACTCCACCTGGCAGAATGGACGACCCAAGAGTCGAGACTTGATAAAATTCGCCTTTTTTCAAAAACAAGTTCTCCAACCATCGCACCGAGAGCGCAAACGTACCTTCAATCGGGGACGTGTTGTTCAAAGTCTAGGTTGAAAGCAAAAGGTTAAGGTAGACAAGTAGTTTTTAGCTCTTCATCTGTAATCAAAATTGAGAATATTTGAGTTAAGAAGTACAGAATCCCCCGATCACCATAACTTTGTGGCGGAGATAGGCAGCAAAGAGCGAAGCGACGAGGAAAACGATCGGAAACGACAAAAAATACAAGGTGCCTGCCCAAGGATATGAAAGAAAGGAGTAGAGGATGCTACTGATACAGATATTTCAAAGCTGCGTCAGCCTTTCAAGTACTTAGCTAAAGCCATCGCGTGATGAAGATATCTATCCAAAGTATTTGAGCTCTGTATTTGTCACTTTTTTCATAAATACGTATTCGATAAGCTGAAATACGCAAGTAGTAACTGACGAGAATAACCGCGATACTGAAGCAGGAAGCAGGAGTGGCCTTTCAAAGCTACTTGCCTTATTTCAGTCAGTAACTCGGCTATTTTCAGTTTTCGATCATAAGTATAGGTTGAGAGGAGATTTTTATGATTACTCTAGTGGCCCGTAAAGTAAATTTGTCGAGGAAGTTTCCGATTTTTGCAGGGGCTTTTCTCCGTGTTGCCATTATGGAGTAGACGAACCATGCGTAAAGCGCAAAACGGATTAGCAGCATAAGCCAACCAGTGTAGCCCTCGTTCTCGTAAAACTTGTAGCTGGCGTCCTCCTTCGCCTTGCTGAACGCGACCAGGAGCACGTTAATCACGATGACGATACTTCGAGCTTACCCAGATTCATCTTCGAATGCATCTTTCTAGCGTCTTCCCCTTGAAAACACGACGTTGAAAATGCCGTATTAGATGAATTAAGGTAAGCCTTAAGATAAACGTCACCGGCACGATCAAATCCAGCTCACCCAACGAAGACTGGAGGAGCGTGTACCTGAAAAGTAAGAGTTTTGGAGTGTAGCGGTCATTCACTTAGACACAGTTTGTTAGCTTCTAATATTAAACTATGTTCTTGCTCAGATGTACTAGTTCTACCAAATTCATAATGGAATCTTGACTCTTTATTCTTTAGATTTGTTTGTGTCTTCGTACTCCAACTGAATGCTAACACTATCGGTGGACAAAGGAGGTCAAAATAGCAATAGTACCCCATTGATATGAGCAGCAGCAGATTCTGAATCAGGACTTGAGATATCGCCTGACAAATAGACTGCACGACGTCAAGAATCCGGATACCCGTCCCGTTCACTGAGTAGGACCATAAATGGAAATAGGATAATACAGTCGCGACGAACTGCAAGCCGATTACGAGCGTGAGCACCCAAACGCATGGATGCACCTGCACCTTAATTGCGTGCTGTCTTCTATGAAAGAGGCTTTTGTTCGGTAGTGGACAGCGAATCTACCACCTTTTGCCCGAAATAGTATTGTGGTGATAACAAGGTGGATTTTTTGCTACCAACTACGAAGCTGTAGTCTCCTCCACATGTGACTCTATCTTCTGATTCTGAACATCATCATAGTATTTTAGCACTACTTGGACAAAAAACTGTGAGGTTGTTTTTGTTAGATGAACTGAAGATCAGTTCTCCATAACTATGGGCGACGCAGAGGCGTACATAGTGAACCCCGTAGCATCCGAAAAGCAGCAGCTTGAACATGTAGACCGTCAACATTCCATCCATTTCTTTGCTAAAATGCGACCCATCATGCTGCTTCGCTTCGAATTGAAACCTGTTGCTGCTTTTTTTGGTTTGACCAGTTCCAGGTGTAGATCATATTGATCATCAAGCAGCAGTATGTAATAGTAAGAAAAAAGACTAACAGGATTATTAAGTGCTAAAGTGAAATTCATCATTACCCAAAGTGGTACTTATCTGTAATGTTTTAACGTTCAATGTCAATCGCGACCAAGAGAATGAGATAAACGTCATTGGGTTCTAAGAAATTGCGGATGGAGTATTCAACAATGGGTATAAGATTAAGATGTTGAACTGAAAAAAATATCAAAGACAACACCTCAGCTTTAGCTGCCCTGCCTGTCCGATTTGACTCTCCCCTGTCCACTCTTGTCCCTCACCTGGGCAGTCACTGGCAACGAACGTCAATGAAGGGCGTCAATGGATATGCGGTATGATACAACATGGGGGTCTTCTATTCAGTATCATCGTTTGAAATTGTCGTCGCGAGGACTGGTTCGTTTCTATTACCAGTACAACAAAAGCCAAACTTCTAGGTTAAGTGTTACTGTTTAAGTAGTACCTGCAGATTGAAATTTGGCGTCCAAAACATTGACATCACGAGTACTATCCTGATACCTGTTAATTACAAAGTAGATGAAAGAATGCCGGCTGTCGCTTCATAAATACCAGACATGTGGTCGGATCACCTGTTTAAGGCCGCCTTTCTCCCAACCGCTCCAATCTGGTGTCATTCCACCGGGAACGCTTACGTCTCTTGTGGTCTTCGCATACTTCATGTAATCACAAATGCTCTTAGCATTAGGATCCTTGTAATCCCAATTGTGTACTTTGCGATCGAGGAAATATGAACGTTGACGACCATGGGAATGAGAAAGCAGGAGTAGTTCAAGTACTTCTAGTTCTGTAATTATTGACGGTAAAAGAATGACTCCAGTCAGATTTTAGGTTAGGTTAGGTTAGGGATCCTTCGCAGGGATTTAGCTTTAGGGAATCTTGGACATGATGATGATGTTATATGTAGGAGACCAGTACTGGAGAATTCGTTTTTCAGACTTGAACCAGTGAAGGTTACCACCTTGTAGTTGTTTATCTTGAAAGACTCTATCTTATCATAAGTCGTGTTCCTCCCACTCCTCGTCTAGGAAGATAGCAACTTTGAGTCTTTCTGCCCTCTCCATCGTCGTCACGGGTCGCAAAAGCTTGAATCTCACCGCGTAAGTGCCTTCCCCAATGTCGTACCCCATTTTCGAGACGTACGCGAGAGGAGAATTCCGGTTTCCCAATGTCACTACGCCGTTGGCCACCTTTGCACTTACAAGAAGAAACTGCTGGCACGAGATGAGAAATGTGGCAAGCAGTGACCTTGCATTCAAAATCTTACTTGATATCATAGTGCCTTTACCTTTCCTCGATGAAGTTGATGAAGATGCGGCGGAAGTACCAGTAGTAGGAGAGGTAGTAGCTCTTCCTCTTGCACTTGCACTCCTCTTCGCTTTCGCAGCTGCGGATATTTCTCCGAACTTGTCAGGTCCGATGGTGTAAGCAGTTGTGCTTCTACCTGACGACATTTCTGCATCGTTTACTTTTTCCGGCACTGGTGATTTTGGCGTCCCTCGCGCACGCTCATCATCAAATATATCGTGGATAGAAGAACGAGCGCATTCGTAGCACGGCTCGGAGGACGACGACCGCTGAGCACTGCTTGGAGAGGCAGCACAACCTGCGAGAGTCGACTCTCCGCCGACATCTGTCGATGGCGCTGTGCTTCGAGATGACGGTTGTTGCGGGTAGTCTCGACTCCTCCGGCTCTGTCCTCGGGTCTCGTTTCGGGAGGTTCGCATGTTGGAACTGCGTTGACCGCGCGCATAGTTACCTACCATTGTCGAAAGTGTTCGCCGCCGTGCACTTCGCGAGGAGTGCTTCTCAGAAACATCTCCTCGCGACAACCCTGCACACGATGCGCTCGAGCGCTCGTCACCAGGAACAGATGCCGTTTTTTCGCTCCTATCAACATGATCCGTGCTTGCGGGTTCTACGATTCGGCTCGACTCGGCCTTCTCTCTGAAGTCTTCTCTTGTCGAGTATCCTCTTGCTTTCGTTTCGTTCCTGCGACTTGAGACGAGGTTCGTAGTGAGTGACGAATTGCTGCCGGAAGATGAGGCCGCCATTCTTACGCATCCATCTATGCGGCTCCGTTGTCTCCGATCAGCGCCCCACGATGTGCTCTGTATCGAATCTCTCAACATGTGTCGGCGCGTACTAGATGAACCGGAATAAAAGGAAGTGGGCGACTTTTGCCGTTCCATGTAGTATATTGCAACTTTTGATCGAAAATGTAAATATTGCAACTTTTGATCTAAACCGCAATGTCTGCTGCCATCAGAATGGTCATCATATGGATGACTTGTTTCTGTTCGTAGTTCATATTGTTGGCCTCCACTTCTACTGTTACGACGTCGTATGTTTTAGCTACTAGCTAGTAAATATCTTTCTCATTCTCAGCGCTCCATTTTACCTTTTTTACACTCTTTGTTCAGGAAAATGAAGCCTCTCACCGCTCTTCGCTCCTAGAAGTATTTGCCTTTTTCACATCGCTCATATAAGGTTCTGCTTGGTTTGTCTAACTCCTTTTCTCAGCGGCAACTCTTCTCAGCTCAGATAACTCTACACATCAACCCTCTACTTCTTCTCCTGATCGCGGTCGCGCATAGTCCCCCCATTATCCGACAACGAGTGGCTGCAGGGACGCCGCAAGTCGACAAAGTAGAGTGTGAGGTCAACATTATACGGAAAATCGTTATTTTCCAAAAAGAAAATTGAAAATCGGAATGGGATGTCTAAGAAGAAGAACTACGTGCATCGTAGTACTCGCTTTCTCGTTGTTGATGTCGATAAAAAGTGGAGTTGTGATTAAAAAGTAATAAAGGTGGTCAAAGGTACCCATGCCATTACATGTTAGAAGATTTGATTCTTGCCCCATTCAAATTCATTCTCACTTGATTCATTTGCGTTCATCGCAATCGCGCAAACCTTTTTCAAGAAAAAAAGATCACTGCGCACCAACCATCAACCATATCAAGTAGAGTAAATTCGAAATGTTGAAAACACGTGGGACCTCAGTGCTCTCGCTATGATGCTAGCATTAGCTGTGTGGACGGCTGCTCTTTATGATGCGCTTCGCAAATCGCCAGCACTTCCCTTGCCGTTTCTACCTGCTGGTGTCTTGTTTGCTTGTTGGAGCACTATGAAATAAAAAGCGGGGACCAGTCAGTTGTAAATTCATCCATATCAAGCGTCGTCTAAGACTTTGAACAAAACTACTACCTCTTGGCAGTCGGGCTGATCGTCTAACAGCGCGTATGCTTCGTCGTACTGATGTTTTTTCCCAAGGAAAAGAGCCTCCTTTATCGTCGCTTTGACTTTCGACATATCCCGTACTCTTGGCGGCTGGTTGTATGATGTTTCGGAGATATTTGTGTGCTGCTATCAACAAAAGCACAAGTCGAAGTTCTTGAGAAGACTGTTCGTTGTCATAGTGGTAATCAGTCGCCAGTAAAGATCATAACGACATCATCGTAAGAAAGAAAAGGCTGGTATACGAATAGTAAAAATGATGAGCAGCACCATCATGATGGCATCATCTTCAGATCCCCCTCTAACTGCAAATAAGTCCCGAAATCTTGTTAGGTATAAATATTTACCTCCAGGTAACTCGAGACGACACTACTCCGCGCCACTAGGCTCTGCGGAGTCAAGGGGCTACTCATGATCGCTGGCGCAGCAACAGCAACTGGCGTCATGGAGAAAACTATGTTGTTATCGTCATCTGTATTGTCTCCAACGGTGCGGCCATTATGCGGCGTCGCCTCCTCTTCATTCTCTTGTGAAGCGTACCTATCGACCCCAGATCGACAGCAGCCCATTCTAGCTGATTCGATTCTTCGACACACGGGTACGCTCTAACGCTAGTGCTCGGCTGTATCCGCAAGTATGTAAGTCCGAAGGATTGATGTTGTGTCTAGGCCTTTCCACCGGAGCTGTGGTGGACTGCGACTAGTCCTTTTCTCCAGCTTTCCAGCACGGCTGCCGTCGTCCACCGTCGTCCGAAAGACGTCCACTGCTTGGATCAAGCCTGGATCGCTGAATAGACCACACCCTGCTCGTAGTTGGTGGCGGTGTCCTACTTCCGCTGACGTTTATTTTTCAGACGGCTGTTCCTCGTCCTCTTCGCTTAGGCGTTCGCTGTGCTTCTGCGACACGAATACGAAAGCGGAACACTGTCAGTAGATTGATGGGATCCTATTCTTCGCTGCAGCGTTGTGCTGGTGGAAGAGGCAGACGTGCTCGCGAGTCACAGACGGACGTGGCAGCCAGAGATAAAGAAACCTCTCAATTTTTCTTTGAAGCGACGCAAACGGCCGAATAACTTCCAGCATGAACTAGAACTACAACAATATGAACGAGTTGTAACTAAAATTAAGTGCAGCCTCCAAAGCCAAATAGTAATCTTCTTATTCTAAACAGGGACCCCAAGGAATTCGATGGTAGTTCTTGCTACCCAAAGTTCTCTCTAAGACGGAAGGTAATTGAATCCAAGCTTATACAGAAAGTCTAAGCTACAGCAGCACCAAGTCAAGATCATACTCTGAAAAAGATAGTTCTTTTTGCAAGAGCAAGGGTAGACACCTATGAAGGATATCCATGAGGCACCCATCATGATTGCACTGAGATAATAAATATCGTTCTCATGAGATAAGGTGCGGGATTCACCGGGGACACAAAAGTTTATGGTAGAATTGAAAACGTGGAATTCTTTTCCATCTTCACACGGGAATGCAGTAGTTCGTGACTTTGTCAGGTAACTCCCCTCTCACAAGTGACATGTACTCTCAGTTGGATGATTACGTATTATTCTCTCAGGTCCCTCTGGTGTTCATTTCCGTAACGAAAACTACCTTCTAGCACCAGTACCGATAAAAAGTATAGCAGCTACAATATGTCTTCCACCACGTCAGGAGTCACTCAACGAGGATCGAAGTCGTCCTTGGTTCATTCTGCGTGCTTTATACTTCGTACCTTGGTGCATTGGCGAGACCTCCTGTAGCTGTAGCGTCGAGTGCGAGAACAATCGTCCGGTAGAAGGGTATGCTGCTGAGTTCCTGCGTGTCTGCACCAGAACGCTACATCAACACGGTGAACTCCCTGTAGACGCTTCTTCCTGTAGATGACAGGCTAGGTGGATAGGAGTGGGCTCATCTACGACGAAACAAGCGTTCACAACTGTTAAGGACGTTGCTGACATCCAATTTCAGTTATTCATCCGGGGCCCCCGCCTCACTTCACGGAGGACAGGACAGGGACAATCCTGATGTATCGATTCTAGTGCACAATAATAAAGCGATAAATATTTTTGAATGACAAAAGATAAGGATTATAGAAACTGCACAGATGCTGGTGCGTCTCATAGTGTGCATGCGATGACACAGCGGACACAGACTCGACAAATGTGGGTGGATGACGGGCAATTTTTCGAAAATAAGTGTCCGGGAGGTTTAGATGTAGAAGACTGTTAGACTTAAGTAATTAGGAGCTTCAAGATTATGTATAATATCGTATGTTGATCAACATCAGAAGATCAAGGCTATGGAAACGACGCCCAAGCAACGCTCCTGTGATATTTGAATGGAAAGAATAGCAGGAATTTGAATTTGATTTTAGCATAGTGACGTATATTAAAGAAGATGCACCTGCTCATGCATGCCCATATTCTTGAATTGTGTTGCATCGAAATTTGAATTTGAAATCATCTTTTAAAATGTACTATGCAGCCTCTACATTTCCTCGGTTGACAGCAGTGATTCCCAAATAAAAAATGCAGCAGCGTCAAAGTTGATGCACATCGATCGTAAATACCACAACGATTAGGATGGGGAACGGGAAGGATAGCACGACTATTGGGATCGTAATCCTTTTCTTCAGGCGGGGATGAAAAGATTACCTCTAATATCATCTTGGGTGAAAAAATAATTCTTTTACTTAAATAAATAGAGCACTTTTTTTCGATGTACAGGCGGGTTGGGGAAATTGCCTCTCAATAATGGGAAAAGATGGCTCCTGCGGTGAAGTGAACATGCTTCGCAACGGCCTGCTGAGCCATTTCTTAGGTGTCGTCTTCCTCCTCCTCCTCATCGTCGAGGAAGTGTGGCCCAACTACGAAACCGCACAAGGGACATTTATTCTGGTGTCCTAAGAGCCACGTATCCACACACGCTACATGAAACGTATGACCTGAAGAGGTTCTTGTCATTCTGGAACTGGAAGGCTAGAGGAAATCATGAATCATTACACAGAAAGTGATAAATAGATTCTGTTAATAATACCGCATTTTAGCCTTCGTATGTGGTCTCCCCGTGAGTACGGCCCGTAGCAGATAGCGCAGTCCGCCTCGTCGTCATCGGCTGTGTTGCTAGCTGTTGACTCCTTGCTCTCTGCGCGATTCTCGAGGGGCGCGGGAGAGCATACCATGTTTTCGTCCTCAGCTGCGTCTGTATTCTTTGCTTTGTTTTTTCCGCGCCCACTTCGTTGAGATGAGGTAGACGCCGTGGATGACTCTTTACTGCTAGATTTAGACGACGTGGCGGACTCTTTGCGGCTATTAGAGGTCAGCAGTCATTGGTCACTGACTCTGAACGGGAAGGGCCCCACACCTCTCCACGACTTGTTTCCCCTCCCTTTTGCTCTGTTCTCTAAAGGGGTCGCCTCTCCGATCTCAGTGACCAACCCCAATGACCAATGAAAGTTGAGCCTTAATGCTAGATTTGGAGGTGAGTATTGATGCTTTCGAGCCTGTTCTAGCGGAAGACTTGCTGCTGCTCTTCTTCGTCGTGGATGAAGACCACATCATAAAGGGATCGGTCAATCGCATATGCTCCTCCCAATATTAGAAGTTGCTTAAATCCATTACCATTTCCATCTTCGTGAGCAAATGACAGGCTTAACTCGTTATTTTAGCAACGCGTTATACTATAACATGCTGGTTGGAAAGTTCTGATCTATAACCTTGGTGGCCGTTTTCTCTTCAAAACGGGCCCAGTGAATGTTTCCACTCTTTGAGAATGTCGATAGGGGAATGGCGTTCCCCCTTTGCCTTCTTACTTGGGAACGACATACTCATATCTTCGTTCTCAGTGAGTGGCATCATACATCCAAGATGATGGGGAAGATGGTTATGCTTATGATTTTTCCCAAGTAGCCTTAACAATAATACTTGGTGGTGTATTTGTCGACGATGTCCTTGGGTATTCCGCGCATCAAGTCCGAGTGCATAACATAGTAAAACAGACTCACGCACAGCAACCGGTGCACGATCAGAGAAATCATGTTCAGCACGCAGTGCCTGATTGTCAGAGTGTATGGTTCTGGTATTTGGTAACCTGAATTTGATCACAAGGGTTCTCTTCTTGTTTTCACTTATGACCCGGATATATAATAGACAGGTCCTCGGTAGGGGTAGTTCAGATGTAAGTGATCCTTAGTGTTAGTCGATCGATGATGCATTGGTTTTATGAGGGAGAGGGACGAAGAGTAAGCCAAGAGCGGCAAACATATGCATGTCTATTCCTCTTCCTTGCACAAGAAAAAGCGAACAAAAAGTACCTCCAAAGTGCTGCAGAGTAGCCAACTGCTGGCGTCGTTGGCACAAGTAACGTTATTATCGCGACGCCAAGAAGCCAGGCATAGTAGAAGGCGAAGAAAACCTTCTCGACTATGCTTTGCTTGTTGTAAATCTGCAGCAACCGTCGCGTGACTAGCTGTGGCGTCGGTTGATATCGAGACTCGACAAACTGTGCCCTGGTGTGAAACCAATAATACGGTCGCGGCATGGCACAGATAATCCGGAGAATCTGTTGTTCAACAGTTTTTGCTTGTCTATGTATACTTTTCTATGAATAGCTCCTCGGTTTTCGTGTTGCTCCGATCGATCGGAGACAGAACAGGAGTCTGCTCAAGAAAGACTATACATGTTGTAGCTGAAGACAAACGATAGAAACATAGAAAGAAGTGGATTTAAACCAACTCTAGGCGTGAGGAAGAGCAGAGAGACTTCTAACTATGTATTCCTGTTGTTCTAGTATAAGGGAGATAATAATTGTTTTTGTTAGTAGTAAATACCGCCAACGCGCGTAAGAGCGTGTCCATTTCCACCTCTGAATCCCAGTACTGGATGGTTATTACTATGCAATGCGCGACGAGTACATAGGAGCAAATGACGCCGAGCTCGATCCCTCTTCGCATGACTATTGCGCTTTCATGCGGAAAATCGCCGAACATCTGTGCTGTGCTATGCTGGTTCGGGTCTTGCCCAGGTGGTACGCCGTTCCGAGCAGCAGGAGCAGCTGGTGCTGCGCGTTGTGCCGCACCATTATTCCCGCCTCCTCCATCTTGCGCAGGTACTGCTGCAGCTCCTGGTGGCCCAGCTGCTCCGTCGTTCTGCACTACCGCAGCCTGGTCACCTCTCCTTTCGCGCACGCCTTCTTCCTCGTCCGATGACATTGCTTCATCCGCGTCCCCAGGATCTAATGCGTCTCCTGCATTACTCCCTGAGTCACCAGACGACGGACTACTCCCGCCTCCTTGGTCTTCCTCCTCATTTTCATCACTGGAAGGACTGTACGCGCTTGATGGCTCAAGCTCTTCCACGTCATCGTGAGTCCTAGGTCGTGGCCTGTCTCGTCTATTATGCCTTTGGTCATCTGCTTGCGCTGTTGACGATGCGCCGCCAGAAGAAGACTTGCTACTTGCCGTTCTGCTTTCCCTTGTTCGAGCGTCGCCACTGCTTGAGGAACTGTTCTTTGAGGAGTTTATACTCGAAGAAGATGCATTTGCATCTCCTGTTCGTTGACTAGACGCTTGCGACGATGAGTCTTGTGATGAAGCTGATGCCAGTTCGTTTTTACCACGTGGCGCAGCACCAGGCTGGCCTCTTGCTCGATTGCCTGGTGTCCTCCCGGACGAACTAGACGACGAGGGGGTTCGCTTGTTAGAGCAAGCTTCCCTAAATTCATCTTGGAAGTCATCTTTGACGTGGTTCCCCCTGGAAAGCATCTTCTCTTCAAAGATACACCTCTTGAGGGATGAATTACGGGCAAGCCTTAATCTTGTCATGTTCGCGCCAGTCTTCCTCTTCGAGGGCGGCTAGGGCTGCCCGAGCGGACTCTTTACCTCTTTCTCTTTTCTCTTTGCTCTCGTTCGTCATCCTGATTTATGATTTTCGTCGTTTTCGCATCAAACTAAACTTCTTCCGGAATATTTTCTACAAGAACGGAGGTTGCGTCTGCGTGCGGAGACGAGTCCTTGTTGCAATTGACTTTCTCGTCAAACTGGATGCGTTGACACGGCATGCGCATGCGCCGCTATCGACGTTGCAATTGTCAGACTAGCCACGGCATCATGTGAATCAATATTTGCGTTGAATTAATATACAGGTCGTGCCATTTGTTGACTTTCGCGACATTGAATTTGGAAATTGCAAAGGAATCTTTATCCTGATAAAAACTAGTGAAGATGATCATGACAGACAGTCCATCGAGAGGTGGTCACCTGCAGTTTTGCGAAGGAACAAGTTTTTTACAACGAACTAGTACTTACACAGCACACCAGTGTTTGTGCTACGAGTTTACAAAAATTTTCGTCGAAGTCAATGTCCGTCAAGAGTCTGACTGTGATCCGGGAAAAATTGCCAACACAACAAGCTGGGCCTGTTGTAGTATGAGTAAATAGAAAATCTTTTAGGCACACCAATCGCTTTCCACTACCAGATGTATCAGCGTCTTAGTGGATCTTCACGTAGTGCGACTAAAATAAGAAATTGACTTGCATGGGTATCCCCACGACCACCTTTTCACGAAGAAATAGACTTTTAGAAAAGTATCAAAATCCTTCTTGTTCTTCTGAGTGAGTGTGAGGGTGGAAGCAAGTGGATGAAACAAACATAATAAAAATACCCGCGGCGAACAATAGTATCTGATTCAAATCTGAACACGATTTTTGGAGGTACTACTTGACCTTTGAGACGCAAGAATATCGCACTCGTTGTCTCTCATGCTTCAATGAAATATCAAGAATCTCAATTTTCCTTTTATCGTTCTCCTTCTCCAAGTATTAGTATATCGAGTCGATCATGATTCCGCTTACATCACTATATCTCGTTTTTCTCGGCACTCAAAGTCCTTCTCTGCTCAGCATGTTCTTTTGGTGCAGTGCTCTAGAGGCATACTCTAACTAAGCGTCAAAAGTCCATGCCTTTTACCCTTTCCTAGAAGACCTCCTCTTGCTCGGCTGATGCATGGGATTCCTATCTCGAATCATCTTAAATGGAGTTTAGCCATGGGACATGGCTTACTCTTCGAACGAGGTTTCCACCCACTGCATTGCACGAAAAAGACTAGGTAGTAGCTCTCTTCGATGTCGTGGCGCAGAAGGAATGCAGTTATAAGTAGACCATAAATTTATACTATGTTTATTCGCCATTTGCGACGAAGATATCACAGGAAGCATGTGAAGAGGATCAGGGTTCTTTCTGAATTCTCATTCTAAAAGGCCGCAAAGGTGTTTGTTGAGTGCGGCTCTACGTTTCGCTTTCGCTCTCATTATCCGAGTCTCCGCGTACTGCCAACGGTATTGCTCCATGCAAAATGCGTCCTGCGAAAACGACGCGGACGTCGTAGTCCTTGGACTCCAGATTTGGCGGTACCTTGATGCATAACTTCTTTCATTGGTTAGAGAGGACAAAGGGAGGATAGGGTAGAATAGGTGCCGGCCTGACTGTAGAGGGGAAGAGGATAGACCTGTATGTAGTTCGTGCATTCTTGTCTTCTTGTCCTTGCACAACTACTGTTGAGGAATTATCATTATCTTTATCAACTACTTATTATCAGAGTTGTCACAACGAACAAGGTCGATGATATGATGATCTGACTCTGAGCAAAAGAACTAGTCCAAGATCATCGTATACGTACTGGTGAGTGGTGAGAAGGAAGAAAAAGATCATTCATGAACGTCATCTGGTGAAGGTGATCAAGAACAAGATGTTGCATAACTTTTCGAATCCCACTTGGCTTTAACGGCAACTGCGTTGGGCCAGACACTAGTAAAATCTCTACGTGATTCCACCACTGCTCCGGTATTTCTTTCCGAAGACCGATTACAACCGTGCCACCATTAGCAGAATACACTTCTTGCGGCTTGATGTAGCTGAATTTGTATTGAATGCAGATGACTAAATAGCATGTATCTAGGAATCTGCACTAAATGCTACAATCAATCTGATATCATTGTATTCTGCAGATGATTCAATAGATTCATTTGTAGACAGTAGACACTTCTTGCGGCTTGATGAAGCTGGGGAAGCATTTGGAGAGTAATGGGTGCCATCATCTTGGAGAGTAATGGGAGCCATCTTCATCAAACTGCATCCCAAACGACCATACATGGGTGCCAGTAAACTACGGTTAAAAAGAAAACTTCAACTTGATGTTATTCGAGAAGAGCTTTAGCTGTCATGACAGAGAGATTAGAGAAGTACTAGAAGTAGACTACTAGAGCATCTTCTTCTTCACAATATCAGGATTAGAATAAGTACATGAGTCGTTGTCCGTCTATTCCTGCAAGCGTTGATGGGGTTTGTCCCGTGAGACTAGACGCCGAAGATCGCTGTGTGCTTGCTCGTGACCACACACTAGGCAGGGAACCCACATCAGATCCACACTCCCAACTCCAGCCGAATATATCCGAAAATGGGAGTTTGCCGCCATTCTGTGGAAGCATATGACTCTGCAGTGGTACGGAGTCTCCAGCCGATAGAGGGAAAGGAATTGAGGAGGAACCTGGAGATGCAACTAAAGGAATTGAGGAGGAACCTGGACGAGATGCAACTAAAGAAATTGAGGAGGAACCTGCAGTAGAAATGTAGCTTTTTAAAGGATGAACCTGGAGAAATGAGAAATGTATTTGAGGATTATGGTGTTCCACATGTTGACGTAAAAATTATGCTGCCAGCCTTCATCTTCTCCGTTGACGTTTACATTATGCTGCAGCCTGGGAGCATAATGCTATGGAATTCTGTAGCTCAAAAGGACAAGACATAAAGCTGGAGAAATTTATGGTTAGAGAAAGGATGTGGCTGACATTCTCCTAAAAATTATTTCCCATCAACAAAATCTAATTCTCATTATCATCATGAGCTACGACGAACTAAATACACGATCAGTATGAAACAATAACAAAACTGAAGAAAATCTTTATTCATCATAACTACAACACCAGTGTAATCTAAATCTATACCACCGAGAGCAGCGAAATCGATGCTGCCTCCAGGTCCAGGATTCGCTAGGGATTGGTGTGCTGTGATAGCTGGCGTTTGCAGCGTAGGTGTTGCGAGGAGCTCTTCTTGTGCCACAGGAAAGCGAACGGGATTCGCAACGTCCGCGCGTCTTAGGGGACTGGCAAGTGGAAGGTTCGGGGGCTCCGGGACACTCGCGCGTGGCGTGGCGAACTGCATCTTGAATTCTTGGTCGTTCTGGGATTTGTCTACTTAGTAATCTCGGTCTTCGTCTTCGTCTTGGGGTCTTGATTTTGTCTAACGCCTTGAAGTCTACTCAGATTTGCGAAGCGCTTCGTCCAGTCTTACTACAGACGGGCCAAAGATGATCAGGGGGCTTTACTTGGGTGTTGAAGTAGTCTTGGATTTGTCTAGAACGGGTCCTTTCAAGAAGTCGCTTTGATGATGTTTTATCTGAGAAGATCAATGATCCTGTTCCTAGGTAACTTTCTGCTTCTGCCACTGCGTGCAGAGCTCCGCGCGCGGCTTTTACAGGTTGACAACAAACAACAATTCTTGGCAAAGGCAAGAATGAAAATGCCAGTGTGCATGTGTCGGAGATGATCAGAGCAGATTTGACGTCTCCCTTGGTAGTACTTCTTCTTCTTCTTCCTATCCCACCCGCTGGCTGAAAGGTATCGTGCTGCCCTTCCAAGAAGTTGTTGTTGATAGTGATACGACTGGCTACGCGGGAAACCGAAATTCGATAAGGGTCGCAGCCTGTACTTGAACTACGACTCGTGTCCCTTCTAAATCATGTAAGTTGGCTGATCTAGTACAGGAAAGTCGCGGTCACGGCTTGCTCGACTGCGTCTGACTCTAGACTAGGCTAGACTTTGCGCGTCAACGCAACTGGTCCGTGGAAAATCTTGAAGATCGTCTAACCAGCATTTTTAAGCACGATACTATTTCTCCAATTCCCATAATGCTGTTTTATGAATATTTCGGATCTACTGTGAAGAATTATATCCTTACGAGAAGAATTATCGGGTAGGAGTTTGTCTCTAGTACTACTTTTCAGGCTTATTCTATTTTTCTATGGTATAAACTCTGCTTCTATGACGCAGCATTTGGAAGACGAAGAACAACATTAAATGTAAGACAATGTAAGACTAAGACACCTGTAAAAACGGTTACTAAAAATAGTACGCAGGGAGACTTCTAGAGATAAATGAAAAAATTCTATTGAGAACTGCTCGAAAAAGCGTTCGACGAAGCTCGTTCTCGTTTTTAATAATCAACCACTAGATCACTCTTGACTTGGCGTCAAATGAAAGTCGGTTCTTGGCGTCACCAGATAAAAATCAGCTGCTGAATTAGGAAGTCGTAAAATGTAACCGGAGCGATCGGGGTGAACTATGAATGAAGAGAGGAAAACGGGGAAGGCATTTTTGGCATTCACATGCTTCACAAAATAGAACTTGTGTTGAAATGCCCTTTCATCTAGTGGTCCGACACAACGAGCTCATTCAGATACTAGAATGCTCCCTGTGACTGCCAACCTTCCCTCCACTATGACCTGTTGTGATCGTGAAATCAATTTGCGGTGGTGGACTCATCGAAGTTAATATTTAGGAAAATTGTCACCACAAGTTAATGATACTTACTGCGTCTGCGCTCCTGTGCATTGCTTGCAGCTAATCAGCTCTCTCTCTCTTTCTCATCTGTCCTCGTTTCTCTTCCTGTGACACGACACGACAGCCAAGATTAAGTAATACATAGGCCCTGAATATCACATCCACCTCCGCACAGAAGATTTCACTGAAAACAACGTAAGTAGCTCTTTTCAGTTTCTCTCGCGCTAGATCATCATCAAAACTGATACTAGCTGTTGAACAAAACAAAAAAAGTTGTAACAGAAAGCTAGGACATTAGCATCTGACACTCACAGGGGCATACCACAAGTACAAACACTCAATATCAACTCTTGTTCGTCTGTTTCTGTGTTTCTCTCCACTCGTCTCTGGGTTGTTGTTGTTGGCAACAAACAAACACGAATCAGGTGCAGCATCAATGAAATAGCTTCAATAGCTATATTATATGGATTTTTTTTTCGTTCTTACGGCTGTAGTCATACGGATACATTTTCTTATCTTTCATGTCAATCATGGCAGTGATAAATTTGATGATGATGTAGTCGTAAATGATGCATTTGCATGTCCATCATGAACAATGATTACATTTTTGTTGCTGCGTGCTTTAGCATGTCTCAATGCCCGCTCCTGTAGGAGGATTTGTCGAGTAGCACCATAACCATAACGCGGCATCTTTTGAACTGTGGTTGCTCGAACGCAGCAATTTTTGAAATGTTGTAATCCATCGCAGAAAATATGGGATAAAACGCATTTTGAAATGTAGGAATCGCATTTTGTTTTGTACCGATCGGTCAAACTATTGATGAATCAAACGGAAAAGCGATGAAATAAGAAAGTTCACATCTTCACTGGCACTTCCAGTTGCGTAGTTAAAGATAAAAAGGTTAATATAATCCACGTAGTACAGATTGATAGTCATAAGGTTTCTGGCAAGTTTTTCACTTTCGTTTCTGTGCATCACTTCTCTTCATCAGAGTTTTATGATCTTGCATGAGAGTCTGAGTCGAAAAATATTTTCATGATTGAAACAGGGACACTCCATGAAAACATTCTAGTTCATTGATGAAAAGGAAACTTTATCCTATCCTAAAAAGACTAAGATGACCTTATCTATCATACGAAAAAAAGAAGCTCTACGTGGTCCTGCTAGTACTGTAGTAAAACGATAAAGATGGTGAATTGTTATGTTATCAGTTATCTTCACGACATTGAGTTTGAATTTGAAGTCTGTTTGTGGTGTTTGTACATGATTTGGTAATCATCGGGTCCCGGGAATTACAAAAACATCTGGTAAATGGAACTAAGGAATTAGCTGCACCTCTATTGTTGTTCACAGATATCATGATTTGCAGCGCACGTATTATCCAGTCAATACCGTTGGAGGTAGAAACCGCCGGTTAGATCCGGACAAGTTGACCACTTTCCCTGGACTCGTTGTACCTTGAGAAATGCGCGTTTTTAGTGACCCTCGCAGAGTACTTGCTAGGGGTAGGTGATCTTCGTTGCAGGCTTGGCAGTGATTTAATATTCAAAGAATGAAGATTAAAATCACCATTGCTCCTTCTTAGACTTCTGAATATCTGAAGAATATGAGTTCTTCAGACTTCTGAATATCTGAAGACAATAAGTGTGGGTACCAGATCCCGTTGACGCAAGTATAATTGGCGTGTTGTGCGTCGCGCCTGTATAACTGTTGCCGCTGCTATGATGCGGATAGAATAGAGTTGGTGTACTGTTCAACACTACAGATTTTTTCGCTGCTCCTGCTACTCCTGACATTCCACGGACCTGCTGATCTAGCATCACTGAAGACGTCGCCATACTTGCTATCATGCCTGCTGTCAAAGCGCTGTTTGAATTGCTTAGTCGGGAAGGTCCACTCGCACTCACCGGCATGCCTCCGTAACTTGCTGCGCCAGCATTTGGCACTGAGTTAACACTGTAGGGCGGTGGCATTACAGAAGATGCCGGAACTGCACTCTGCTGAGCAGCGACCGCCGCTGGACTAGCGCTTGTCCTCGTTGTGGAGCTCGTGGCCCCGGTTGCGAATTTTAGAGCTGTGAGGACTTGTTCTCAACAACAAATTCATCAAATGTCCATACATGATAAAAAGAAATCAATTCTTACTTCTCGCTCAATAACGAGGTCACTCTCGTCTTCCCATGAAAGATCACACTCGTTCTGTTACTTCTCGCCTACTTGACTTCAAGGTGAAATCAACTTGTTTCAACACTCTCTTCGCATGCAACGATCACACAAACGATCATAAAGACGAGACCGCACCTCCCTGCATCTGGCGCACTGCTTTGGACAGGGATTTGTTGAATATGACCAGGGCTTTGCCGCAGTTAGCTTCCGCATGTTCGATTTTCTGGTTGCACTTCGTGACTTCCAGTCGGCAAGCCTCGATGCGTTTCGCGAGGTCACTGTGGATCGTTGCAACTAGTGTAGGCCATGTGGCACCGTCCACGTGCGGCGCTACAGGGATTTCCCGATACTGCAGAGGATCCACGTCGTCATCTGTGGCGTTTCCAGGACCACCAGCTGCGTGACGATTAGAAGAAGAGAAAAGCAGACCAGCAACACACTTCGACTTCTGCTGTACCTACTATAGACACTAGTACTTGCAAACAATCCTGTACGAATAAAATGGATCAAGCAGCTGCTGCTACAATCTCCTTGACACTACTCTAGTACTAAAGTACTAGAGGTTGGAGGACAAGAACTAGTACATCTACTAAAACTAAAGTCCTTGTAGTTCTTGTCCTTCAACCTCTCCTTCTCCCATGATGAATTTGAACTACTGCCGAAAACATAAATGTACGGTGCTACTTCCACTAACTCTATAGTTCCTGGAGTCATGGTGTTGACCAACACAAGGTGCAAAAAAAAACAAGAACGGGCAAGTATTAAATGCCAGAGCCCTACTATCAGGATAGAACGCGACTGGCGGTCCACTTGGGACTTCTTCCCCGCCACTGGTGCCACCAAGTAGTGTCCGCTCCCCTTGCTCCCCTGTGCTCGTTCGTACTACTTCGAGGGACGCGACGGCCCCCTGACCCACACTTGATGCTGCCTCGAAGTGTTTTAGAGATTGGCTGATTGTAAAAACATGTGTAAATTCACAAATGTCAAGCAATCAGAAGCTAGAACAGAATTTGAGAGCAACAGTAACAACATCTATGGGTGAACTAAAAATTTTGTTACGATTTTTCGATTCGAAAAGAGCGGAAACATCTTCTTTTTTTAGCTCGTGTAGCTGCCTTTTTAATAAGGACTCATAACACTTGTTGCTGATTCCGTGGATTTCCTCTGTTTCGGGCGTTGTAGGGCCCGCTAGAATCTGAATCCGCGTAAACCATAGGATGTTGCGACGAGTCAGTCATTTCGCCGTTCCCGCCGTCGTTTCCATCATATCCGTCCATCATAACTTCGCCGCCCTGAGGACGTCCACCATGCGCAAGGCCAGCAGCGGGTCCTCCTGGTCCTGAACTAGGTTTAGAGCCCGCAATTATTCATCTCTGACCTCATGGCGCATCATCCTTTAAGGGTACAAGGAAATTTTGCTCGTCCCCCATGTTTCTTCTTGGTGTTGCAGGCAAAGATACGTTAAAGTCAGGTGGGTTCTCTCCTATTACTCTTTCTGTAGCCTTAATAGAAGTATAGGCCTGTTCATGCTCATCCTCGTCGGTGTTTGACTGCGCTGCAGCATGGTGGTCGTGGCCGTCGCCACCAGAACGTTGGATCGGAGAGGACTTTGACGGAGTCCCACCCGCAGGACGCTGGGAACTTAGAGCTCCCGACCCTAATCCACCTCGAAGTCCATGATCCTGAGACGGTTTCCTCCTTGACCATCTCCATCGTGACACTGCTGCCAGCCCCATGGAAAACGTCTCTAAGATGCTTGCGAAGATGGATTCGGGGGAGCCTTAACAAAAGCTGACTCTCAGTGTCACTGTTCTGATTCATGTACCAATTCATCAAGCCGCTGTTTTCATGCTGTGCCGTAAGGTCGAGAGGTTTAGATGTCCAAGAGGAGAAGAGAATGCTGAAACTCAAACTGATTCTTGAAAATGAGAAACTTTATAGAGCAGCAGCAGGAGCTGGAGCATGTTGTCTGAAACTAGACGGAAAAAGAGAAAGCAAAGAAAGAAAATAAAAAAAAGAAAAAACTGGATGCATGTTCTCTACTATACGCCATATCGCGAACAGCCGCAGCTGCCTCAGCAGCAGCCTCGGATTCACTCGATGACGATATAACCAACATGCCTTCACTCTGCAACTCCCCATCGTTATTGAACGCCATTGGAATCATTGTTGGTCGTTCCTCTCCCGCTGCAGCTGCTGCGACTGGAAAGGTTAGAGGACTTATAAGCTTATCCTCAAGACTCCCTAATGTTGGAGACAAAACTCCAACTGTTAGTTTTGTAATGCTAACTGCCTAGATGAAGAAGAAAACCAAAACCTTCGTCTTGTTCTCATCACCACCGCCCCCACTACTCTTCCTTCGCCTGTATGGCCGTAACAAAACCGTTGGCCGTACGCTTGCTCGCGCTGAGCTCGAAGATGCCCCTCCTGCTGTTGTGCCAGCCTTGGCGCTCATGAAATTGATATTGCTGTAGTTCGACGACCTTCCTCCGGCAACAGATGCTACTCCAATCGCGGCATCCGCACCTCCATTTCCTAAAGACGGTAGTGCGGTTGAGACTGTAGTCCCGTTGTTCATGGCTACTATCTGGCCGAGGCCTGCGCCGATGGCCAAGAATGTTAGAGCTAAGTACCGCGTTCGCATCCCTCAGTGCTGTCTTGATGGTTTTTTCTTATCACGAGTAGAAAAAGAACCTCCAAGGAGGCAGAACCTGTTAAGGACATGCTTCCACGTCGGTAGCCTTAATAATCCATGGAACCTGGTGTCCAAAGCTCGCATCATCTCCAATGCCTTGCTACTGGCAACCTCTTCGTCCCGGTTCAGCACTTGAACGAGGCTGTTGTTCACTCGACGAAGCAGTTCGGCGAGTTTCTCTTAGAGCTTGCGCGAAGCCATCTTCACGTCCATCCTGATGCCCTTTTTCCCTTGAAAAGCCCTTCCACCAGGATGCTTCTGAAAATGGACCAGGGGAAACCGTAATTCTCGTTCGTTCCCGTCTCTCCGTCATTCACGCGCTCCGTCAACAAATCGATTTTCGCGTCCACTGACTGCTCCATCCTGCGCATCCAATCATCAGTGGCCCCCGTTGGTGAGCCGCTGGCTGTACCATTGGAGAGCGAGAGTAGGAGGACTAGCCAGTTGTACTTGTTGTATTTGTAAAAAGTAGAAGTAAGATGGTGTACTCGTACTTAAACTTATGCTTATGGGGTTTGTCAATATTACTACTTCACCAGGTCATCTACTTCTCCAGAGGTAGGATTTGACCAGATCAAATATCTAATTTAGGTCATCTACTTCTCCACGCTCTCCAGAATCGCAGAAGGAGAGGAAGCACTTACCTAGAAGAATCAGTTCTAGATGGTGAACAACCAGGTCTAGATTGTACAGATAAATGAAGGTCAATCTTGATCATATGAATGACTTCACTTCATCTGTTGCCAAAAATGTGCTCGCCTTCCGTAGTTCGAGGTTCGCTATTCGCCTACTGTACTTCGTATCCAGCATTTGCACCAGCTTGTAAAAATCGTCTCCTGTATCATGAGGGAAAGGGATGGAGGCAAATAAAAATTCTAAGAACTTTAGTACCATTGTTCAAAATGAAACATGAAGTACCTGAAGACGCTGCTGGGGTGCCAAGATTTTTGCGGACCTGCGCAAGGATGTCATCCTCATGCCGCCTCTCAAATCCAGTTAGTCTATCCTCCAGTTGCTTCAGGCGTGTTTCGAGTTGAAGAGAGTAGTCGTTCAATTTTCCATTTGCCCGTTCCATGTGCTCTGCTACTAGTAGGATTTCCTGTTGCGGAGGACGATCATTTGATGAGACTGATCGAGAAACAAAGAGTATCTACGCAAAATGACTAGGAAATGTTAAAGGAGCAAATGAACCTAGTATACGACCCACCTCTTATTTCCATGAAGTATTCTATATCTCTGAATGGAAGTAAACAATGGGTACCTTGCTTGCCGGCATGTATTGTTGTTTGAGCATGGTCACTTCGCTCTTCAGTTTTTTGAAACGGGCTTCTAGGGAAACGTCCTGCGTCTCGTCGACGTCCAGCAGTGCAAGTTTGTCCATCATGTCATCTAGGCGTTCATGAATATTAGAGCTCAAAGGATGTAAGGTATAAGAACGAGAGATGTCCTAGTTGTCCTAGTCTGATGTACTCAGGAGCAAAGTTGCCCAATGGCTAATTGCCTCAGAATCCTTAGAAGGAGACAGTAAGAAATGAGATGTAGAAAGGAAATATTTTGAGCCATAAGAATATTCCCTTTTCCTTTACCCTCTTCCAGCTCTTGCAGCCTCCCATGTAGCGAGTCATCCTTGCGCTGCCCCTGGTGGAAAATTCGATTTCATTGTCGTCATCCAGTCTTCTCTAGTAAGTTACACGACAATAGGAGCATGGTATCAAGACATCGACGAACAACCTGGACAATTTAGTAATTGTATCTAAGACTATTAGCGGCCTTGCACTCACATACCCAAAGTCTACTAGGAGCTAAGCCGTATTTATTTTAGCTTCATTTCAGTAGAGATAGACACCACACCAGCCACATCGCAGAATAAGAATATCTATAAGACAACTACTAGGAGCATATATCATAAATACTAATATCATAATATTATGCTTGCGCTACTTGTTCATGTTCTTGTTGAGTTAACAAAAATAACAAGTATACACTCATCCGATGAACGTCGAGTTTTTTATGGAGGCGCTCCACCTCCTCATAGAGCTCTTCTACATGCGAAACTTTAGCGCATTCGCTGTCCAATTTCCGCACAATCCACTCATGCTCGGATTGCAACTGCGCGCAAACGTTGTTCTGATGTGGAAAGGGTTTCAAGTTGAACAAAACGTTGAGGTCAAGAATGATGAGATACAACTCACAAGGGTTTGAACATACAAAGAGAGAGCAAGAAAAGGGCACCCCCCTCCCGATGTGCACTACAGATTTACGGAGGACCCAAAAATGTTGTGGGCTCCAATGAACGGGACTGTTGGTGAACTGCAACGTGCTACATTCATTCATTCACGAGGGTTTGAACAAACGTCAAGAACGAAAAGTTGGTTGTTCTGAGGGTAGAGTTTGAACAAACATTGAGCTTGAGGTCAAGAATGATGAGATTACTCATTCCAACAGGAGCAATCTGCTGGTAGGAGTAACTACATCATGAGCATACATTATAGGGCAATTTCTTAATTCATCGTCGAGTAAGTAACTTGAATTTCTTCTACAACTTGTTGTTCTTGTTGGCCTCAGGGTGGGCGGAATTAGAAAAAAGTCTCATTAGAAGTAAGTACAAGCCTTTTGTTGTCTTCAGTCAGTAATCGATTGGCTGTTTCCAGCTTGACGAGGCGGTCCTCGGGCGGCCCCTGCGATTGTCGACTTAACGCAGCTGCTCGCATGGCTACACTTTGGTCTTCTAGAAATCGTTTCTGCGTGTCGCAAACTTCCGTCACCTGAGCTCGAACTGTAAGTGCCTGCGCACCTACACCCCCCTCAAGTGACACTCACGTTGCCTGGTGAGCAACCCAGTCAGCCGGGTAGCTTCGTCATCGTCGTGGCCACGACGGTCCGCCGCAGCGACGCGCGAAGGGCAGACGGAATGGGCGGCGCATATTTTTCTTATGAGCAAGTCCCTTGCTTTAGTGCTTGCGCAATTATACAGGACTTAGAAGACGCTGTCTAGTAGATGGGATGGCCCCTTCATCTACGTTCATTAGTACTACTTTGGTCTCAACTACATTAACGTTACTCTCAGGTACTTTTTTGAGTTTATCAACTTTTACGCTTGCTGCAGTCGAGGAGGAGGGTCGGGGTTGCATGTTTTCTTTTTGTATCTATGCAAGTGGAGGAGGAGAAGTCACTCCGCTCTTCTCTACCGCGTTGTTTATTGCGTTTTCCTACGACGAAATTATGATCACCGTCACTGAATTGACAGAATCGACAAACCACCCTTTATGGTCGTGAGAAGTTTCTTCCTTGTTTGACAGAGACAACCACTGCTGCAAATGGAACAGACTGAGCATGGTCATGGTTATGCATCTCATGTACATCCCTCCCTCGTCAAGTCTGAGAAGAAGCCTAATACACAGAGAAACGGAGACTCCCTCGTGGTAAGTGTTTTATATCGTAATGAAGGCGAAGATAAAAACAGCCGTCCTCGTCACCGTACACCGAAATTATCGGCAGCCAGGATCGATCAGCACATTCTGAGTGTGCCACACGACAACAAATCCGAACGACCCCAAGGGCAAACATTCCGAAAAAGAAAGATCAACAGCATCATATTTGAGTTCTATTTAGCGACTTTCTTGTTCACACTGGGACTGCTTTGCAGTTTCTAATATGAATATGAATTTTTGTAAGTAATTTAGGAGCACGAACAGGAAGTGCCAACCGATCATCGGAAGTCTAACTTTCTAACCGTGTACGGTCTAACATGATCTTTTAAAAAATCATCGATCTATCGGGATCGCTTCATCAGCATAGTATTGATCTTGTCCTTGTTCTGTCTCAATTTTTGTGTGCCCCGAAGAATAGTAGCTATCCACAGCTCATCAACATACACATCACACCCATCATCAAAAAATCAACAAACATAAACATTCTGAAGAGTTTTGCAAACGCATCTTGTTTCTGATGATAATCATATTTCTAGAACCTAAGAAAGTACTCATGATGGATTTGGCAAAATTCAAAAACAGCAACTTCGTCTATTCAAATTTACTTGTTTAATTCAATGTCTATTCAGCAACTTCGTCGTCTTAGTCTGATTCTATCGCGCCCGCGTCTCCCGCCTCATGGGCATGCGAATTCGAACGTGACCTCCATACTTCGGAAGGGAGCAAAGCTTTGCGCTTATGTTAGAAAAGAAAGAAGAAGAAGAAGAAGAAGAAGAAGAAGAAGAAGAAGAAGAAGAAGAAGAAGAAGAAGAAGAAGAAAAAGAAGCTGCGCCTCAAGCGTATCTCGATGGTATTCCACTTGGAAAGCGTAACTGAGAAGAAGTAGTGGAAGTCGGAGGCTGGAAGTTAATTACAACAAGACGCTCTGGATCTGACTACAGCTATGAAGCAGTCACTATTTCGGCTATCCGAATCCGTTGCAGGTCTTTTGCCTGTTGGTCCTCGATTTTGGAACTACATGCGTTGCGGTCTGTAGGTTATCTCTGAGATCATTCCGGCGCTGTTTTGTCCTTGACTGTGTTGGGAGGCTTGAGCCACAAACGAGAGAGAGGAGAAGCCGAAGACACCCGCGCGACGGTAAACCCGTCGGGCGTTTGGATAGTGCTCCGGTAACCTTTTGCCTGGCGATCTTGGTCATTTTGATGATCTTCATCCTTCTGATCTTTGTGATATTTCCAGGATTATGACCTTGACCAACAAAAAGAAACTAATGTAGATAAAGGATAGAATACAACTTATAGATATAGATACTTATATTTATACTTATACAAACTGGTACTTATCATGATGATACTACTTTTAGCCGTAAGACGCGACCCCGCTGCGCCGCCTTCACGCGATGATAGCGAAAAAAAGAGTGCCAGAAGGGGTACAACAACATCATCTTGACGCCCGTACTTTCGGTCCAAAGCAAAATTTTTCTCTTTTTCCTCCTTCTTTGCGAAAGCACGATATCACATAGGACCGAATCAAAATCTCATCTTTTACCTGTTTCTGAAAGATTCCTGTCACAGTTATGCGTCTATTTCATTGGGGTAGTAACGGTGGTGTGAGAAATACAAAGCACAGATTGCATAGGCGCTGCACATTCCTATCAACGTCTTCGTTTCGTTATGATAACACCAGAAGGCTCCTGGCACAAGCCCATCTTTCGCTCAGTCTCCATTTGCAGAGGCGGTGAGAAGATTGATAGAGATTTTTCTTTTCGTATATAATTATAATATTATAATACGGCTTTGCTTTTGGAGCTTTTTCTTGTCGACACTTCATGTCACAGGATAAAGAGAGTCCTTTGTAGCAGCACACAGAAGCACTTTGCTGCGTAACACTGCAACACACAGAACAAGCACTTTGCTGCGCAACACTTCTAACATTACAGGTCACTCTCATTCACTGCATACGTGTGATATTACGGATCTTTTTGTTCATCGGTGGTAGTTTTCTGCAAATCTGAATGAAACAACGACGAAAGGCGTTTGATGTTTCTGAAATGAAGAAAAAAAATCTACTGGTGGGATTTTTGCTATCACGACATTCGAATACTTACTATTTTCGCACAATTTTTTTCGCCTTTTTGGCAGGCTCAGCGTTAGTTTTTTCGCTGTTTCTTCTCGACAAAGCTGCAGCTGACTGATGTTGAATGTTTTTCCGGTAATTTTTTGCTTGCCGTCCTCTCGCCTCCCTTGCTTCTTCCTGGGACACGTCGCTTATGTCCTCATCAGCGACTACAAAATCGTCCGAAATCTTACGCGGCACAGGCCGTTTCATTTTCGTCCCAGCTGTAGCGCTGCTCTCGTTCCTCTGCTTTTGCATCATTCGCTGGAACTCCATATTGCTCCCATCGTCAACAAACGCTACACTAGCAGACGAGGAGGATGATGCGCCAACCTGAGGTTGAAGCTTCCCCACTAGTAAGGCGTTCCTTTTCGCAGAGGACAACTTGGCAGCAGCCCTTTTCGCAGAGGAACCTCCCTTGCTCGGCGGTGCAGGGGCTCCACTAGTCACGAGAACGTTGCCGCCAATAAACTGCGTTGCTGTTCCAGGCCGTCGCTCCGTGATTCTCTGCGCCTCCACTTCCTGTTGCAAATTCAGCACAGCTCGATCGATTTCCGACATACGCGTGTTGATATTGGGTCGCCGCTTAGGCGCAGCTGTCGGTGGAGGTAGTTGTCCTTGACCTTGGTGGCCCTGGAGGGGGTTAAGCAGGGTCGTTCTAGATGATAACTGTTGGTGACTTGTTGTGCTGGAACCGAATGCGCCACCGAAAGCGTCCTGGAGGACCCGCTCGACGCTAGCGGTCATATCTGAACTTGAGGCATCCCCAAAATGCCTGCTCTGAGTGACCTTGTTGATTTTCTTGCCCCCCTTGACGTTCATATGCGAAAGCGGATCTGCTGCTTGATCACTGAATGGAGCGCCGGTCTTCAGTACAACTTGCCCTTCGACTACTCCCAATGTTTTGTTAACTGCAACACCAGAAGCAATTGCACTGTCGTCTGTCACCACGCCCTCAGCAGAAGCGCCATCTTCAATGATCGGCATCGCCGACGTTGACGCACTCTGAGGCATGACCCCCTCGGTCCCGAGAGCGCCCAGAGATCCTGCTTGTCCCGCGACGTGGTGAGCCATCTTCTCACCACCACCCATCGCACTACTACGCACACGACGATGATCTACAGCTAGCGCGTCTCGGTAGCTTTTTTCTTCCGCAAGCAGTTTCGAGTCGATGAAACGCCGCCAAACGTGCTCGCGAAAGTAAGCACTTGTATTTCCGACGTCGACAAAGCGCTCAAAGCCAGCTCTAAAGTCGGAAGCCAGCTGGGCCTCTGGCGGCACGCCCTGAAGATTGCACAGGTAATGAAACACTGGTAGGTTGAAGTCGGTGGCGCGCAAACATCTTCTTTGGCCTTGATAATTACCACCGTGGGCTGGGAAATGCTGGTGCGAGTGCGGTCTTCCAGGTCGCGGTGTAATGACAGTGGTATCGAAGAAGTTTTGTACTTGCTGATCTGCATCGACTTTTGACTCTGTCTTTGCCTCTCCTCCTGGTTCTTGATCTGGAGTCAGTTCCTTAGACGACGAGTGTCCTTTGAGAACGAGGTACAGCAGAAACCGTCCCAAGGCACGCCAAAACGGTAATCGAAACTGGGCGAAGAGGTCCTGAAACTGGGCACGAAATGCCGCACGCTGATCCGCCCGAGCGGCGTGAAATCTTCGTTGCGCGACTACTACTAGTCGCCGTGCCAATCGCGTTTGTGGCTTTGTGCCGCCCGCTGTTCGCAGGCAATCTTCATGAAGAAAACGGAGAAACAAGAGCTGCTTCGACGATCCTTCCGCCACATGCAATAGCGGTTGAGCATTACTTGATGAAACGGAGCTGCTCTTCCCGCCAGGATTTGACCCTGACCCGAAAGAAGAACAAGACGCTGCAGCGCCTCTAGTACCACCCGAAGTCCACGACACGACAGCCGCACCTGCAGCGGCGCCAGCTCCACCACCACCACCTCTAGCAATAATACTTGTGCTACTAGTACTGCTACTCGCTTGATGTCGTGGAGGTGGCACACTTATCATAGGAGGCTCGTCAAAATTCGGGTCGTCAAACCAGTCAGTGAGAACGCGCCGATTCGTGGCTAGTTGGGACATGTGCTCCTCTGCTAAGCCGTATTCGTCTCCGGAGGATGCACTAGCCGCGGAAGAATCTGCGCTCGACGCTGACATCTTCCCCCTCTGGTGGTGTGATGCGAACGCTGCGAAGTCGACGTTTGATTTGTTGAGTGGGACGTTCTTGGCGCCGTCAAGCATCACCGGAAAAGCCACTGCAGCTCCGCTTGATGTAGAAGATGGACCAGTACCTCCCATAGCATTGCCCGAGTGCAAAAATCCGTGTTTAATAATGCCTCCATCATTCGATCCAGCAGATCCCAGGGATCTTGCGGAGAGATTTACGGGTGAAGCGTTCGATACTTGCGCCATGAGTTCCGGGGACGTCTGCAATGGTTGCAGTGGATGCTTGGTGTTCTTAGAAGTGATTCCACCGGGGGGCAGTGCGCCTAGCGGCTGTGCGTCTGCGGAAGTGCCACGCGAAGCTGCCGGCTGTGTTGCTGACGGCTGCTTCGGAACGAGGTTACAGCTTGTTTCATTTTCGTTTGACTCCAAGAATAACGCGCCCTGTTTTCGCCGCAGCCAGTCCTTCTTACGCGCACCCTGGCTGTCCGAGTCGGAGCTGAGGCTGCTAAGCTCGTCGCTTTCTGAGGGAGACGACGAAGAAGTGTGCCGCTTGCGTCGGACATTGTGGCCACCACCTGTACTCGATGATGACGACGACGTGGATGTGTAATCGTCCTCATCCTCGTCAGAGCTCGCGTTGGGGCCACGCCTTGATGGCTCAATTGCGTGCTCACCACCTGCACCGCCTAGCCTTGCTTTTGCACCAGAGCTACCTCCAGTGGCTGTCGTTACTACGTTGTGTTGGTTTCCACCCAGTTCCAGTGGAAGCTGTGGGCCTTGCTTTGGACTGGAAAAAGGGGACGGCCGACCAGGAAATACGGATCCACCGAATTTGGATCGCATTGTTCCACCTCCTGCTACATGCTGCCGGTCACTTTCCTTGCCAAAATTTCGCACCATCTCCCGTCCATAGGTGATTCCGTGGTCCACTTTGAGTGCTTCGACGAGGCCGGCAACGGTGTCAAGGAGACTGGACGACATCGCGTCGTTTGTTGATATGGAGGCAAGGTTGATGTCGCTGGTGTTGAAAAAAGTTGCCAGACACTGGAACAAAACTTCAAAATCCCGCAGCCAGACGGTCCGAAAATCAGCTGTAGCGCAAGTATCCAGAAAGCTCAGGCATATACGACGAGCAGTGATCGAACGCAACCGCGGAATCAAGCTGCACAGAGCTTGTGTAACATGCAATGACGTTCTTGCTGAATGCGGATACGGATTCGATGAAGACGCTACACCAGTCGTATGGTTGCCTACGGCACCGAGCCCACCAGTTTGTAAAGCCGTATCGCTCGTAGTCATGCGTCCTCCACTATGAGGCATATGACCGGAGTTAGTCGCGCTAGCATTTCCCATATTCTTACCGGTTTCCCCGCTCCCAGAAGCAGCGTCTCTGCCCGTTCCGTTGGGATCGTTTCTGAGCGCTTCGTCCCGCTGAAATTGCTGCCATCTAAGTCCGTGGACAGTAAGGATCACTAGAAGGCCTTCACGAACAGGTCTGGAGAACTTCCCATGATGCTGTACCTTTTTGGCGCCCACAGATCTTGGAGGTTGAGATCCATCTGCTCCCGTGCTGGACGTTGCCGTCGTGGACAGGGGAAGTAAATCGTCGAAAATTTCCAACGGAAACACCGTCTCGAGATTGGTATGCCGAAGGAAGTCACGGACGACGCTTCTTAAGTCATCTTCAGCAGGGCTTTTTGCTTTTCGCCCTTCCACCTCCCCTCTCTCCCATTTCGATTTTTCAAGTTTTCGGACCTTCGACGGCGGGCCTTCGTCTAGCAAAGCATCGAGATCGTAGCCATTCTTGTCTTCTGCAGTAGTTGCAACAGCCTCTTTTCCCGTGGTTCCTGACGCTGCTGTCGGGGTCTCCGTTGATAGGACCTTTGCTCCAGTAGGATTTGCTGCTGGAGGAGATGCAGCTATGGGGGTTAATCTTGGCAGTGGAGACGCCGTCTCCTCAGCAAAGAGCCACGTCATTACTGAGACTGCGCGAAGCAGCTGCATCGCTAGAGCTTCGGTTGAGACGCCTTGTTCTCGTAGGAACCACATAGCCGTGCTCCTCCACAAGGAGTTGAGCATTGGGTAACAAATCCAGCGTTTTTCCCCTAAGGCTTGTGCAAGCGTCTCCTCTTCCTTCGGTCGCCACTTCGCCTGATGGTGCAAGCGCTTGATGAGAGCAGGCTCGTCCTCACTATCAAGACTCGAAACTGCATGCATCATGTAGATTGACTCCGTTTCCCGCGAACTCATCTCTCCACCACCATGAAATCCAGGGTGCAGGGACGTCTTGGCACCCTTGAAGCTCTTAAACGCCGAGGGGTTAAAACTTGCGGCCCCGTCGAGTCCCATTTTCATACCTCCTGAAGATGCGCCACCAGCTCCTGCGAGAATGGTCTTCATTTCGTGACCTGCTCTCGACGTCGTCGTGGTGCCAACATGTATCAGAGCAGCATTATTTGAGTTTGCCCCAGCACCTCCTACAACGCGAGTACCACCAAATTGGCCATGCCCAGCACCAAGTCCAGGACCGTTACGAGCAGAAACAGGCGTCGGGTCGCCGCTGTTGCGCGAGTTGTTTCTCAACAATTGCAAACCATTCAGGGACGACGCGGACTTCGGAGTGGACCGATCGATTGCTCCGACACCACGCGGAGCTCCAGACTGACCACCGCCAAGCAATCCTCCGGTCATGTTGGTATTGTTCGTCAGCCCGAGTAAAAATGATCCGCCTGTTATATAATTACCAGCTATGTTCTTCATGTTGCTATTGTTCGTCAGCTGTTGCTGAGTGTCGTGAGTCTCCTGACCTGGCGGACTGTGTAGGGGAGCCAAAGCATGACTTCCATCCCCTTTCCTGCGACTGGAGCCTGGTTCTTTGGCTGTCTTGTCTCTCGAAGAGGTGAATGCTTCTCCTGCTGCCGGGGTTTTGCCTTTTTCTTCTTCTTTCGGCATACCGATTGGACCTCCACCCGGTTGTGCCGCACTAATCGCAGCAGTGTTTTTGGCAGGAAAAACTACTCCGCTCTTGACATGTGCTTGTCCACCAGGAGGCTCGTGTTTGCTGCTGCTACTGCTGTTGTTCAGATGCTTGGTGATGTTGGTCTTACTGGTGCCTCCACGACTAGGGCCTGCTTTGGCAGCACCTGGGGTACTCCTTGGGAGTAATGCAGCTGAGCTAGCGGCGTCGCCCTCAAGCCCCTGGAAGGGCACCAAGACGGGGTCGATAGCGTCTCCAGGCTTGTGAGCAAATAACCGGTCCCACACCTTCCGCTCGAATGCTCGCCTACCATCGTCAATCTGCAGCAAGTCGTGCTCGTTTTTCAGCGGTTTTACCACTGTCCCTGTCCGTTCTACTCCACCAGCACCCTTTGCCGGAGACAACATTTTTGAAGGAGATAAACCCGCAGCCACTTCTTGTTCTAGAACGCCACTGCTAGTGCCAGTTGCTACAACGAGTGCACCTGAACCTCCAACAGCTCCTCCATGCCCTGTTCCATCGCCCCCACGGTTGTTCATAACATCAACACCTCCCGGCATATTACTAAAAGCATTAGCGTTGTTAAAAGCATGTTGATGGCCAACATGCGCTGGACTTCGACCTGCTAGGATGCTGTCTGGTTCGAAATCCGACAGCACCGCTTCCACGTCGTGGTCCAAGTGCTCCCGCTCTCCGGCTAGGTACTTGTCTGGCTTCTCTGTTTAGAGGTGTAAGGAATTCACATCTCAACCGTAATAATCTGAGCGCCATTTTCCTCTTGTCTTGAAGTTCTCTCTCTCTCTAACAGACATGTTGACTCATAATTTGGAGACGATGAATTCCCTACACGACCCATAATCTTTTCCTCCACCAGCACCAGTATAGAGCAGTTTATCCGGCTTGTTCTCTGGTCCTGTTTCCTCGTCTTTGAACGGCTTCGACATTGGATCTACAGGAACACCACCAAGCTGAACGCGACGTCTTATAGGTGCTCCGCGAACCCCTCCGCCCGGCGTTTCACCGCCACGTGCTGACACTGCACCTCCTCCACCGTGGTCGTCATACATATTAGCATAGGAGTGTCGGCTTTTATTATTCATCTCGAGAAGTCCCCTGCTCATCTCGACCCCATATTTCATCCTCGTGTAAGTAATATACTATTTCATGATGAAGATGGGAACAAAGGACACTCCTATCGAGGTGCTGAGAAAGACAAACACGGATTGAAGCTGGTGACCTTAACTACACCTCCGGCACATTGCCAAGCGAGCTTGTCGATCTTCCCGTCTTCCAACATCATTTTGTCTTTTTCGTCTACGAAATCAACGAGCATCGCATCAATGTCGGCAGCGGAGGACACCTCGTCGGCCACAGCACCGGCACTGCTAGGGTTGCAGTTTTCCTCATCGTCAGAGCCCTGAACCGTTCGCTTGCTACGATTGCGGTGCAATTTCCCTGTCGTGCTTTCCATCCCAACCCGAGAAGTCGAGGTTGAAGTCGCTGTTGGCGCTGCATGCTGATTCATCGCTCCCCGTTGAACGTCGAGGTTAGCGTTACCACCTATTTGACCTACTTGCTCTAGAAGTAGATTGTTGTTGAAAAATAGGTTTGCTCCCGAAGCAGCAAGTGCCGCCCCATCGGAAGCTTCGTCTTGGTGCGCAAAGGGTAGCGGCAGCTCTAAATGCTCTTGGTTAAGCTGTGCAAAGTAGTCAGCGTCAGGAGTTCCATGTTCTTGCTGATATCCACTTCTACTTCTCATTTCACCTTCGGGTACTGCAACTCTTTCCTCGTAGTTTTCCTCAACATCTTCTTGTTCTTCTGCGATTTTGCTCAGCTTCATCATCCCGCTCGCTGGCACGACTTTCGCAATGTGGTGGAATCCAAGTGTCTGCATTGATGGCGGCTGATGGACATCGTCTCGAGGGCTCGAAGTCGAACCTCGGTTCGCACCGCCACGAAGATGCTGATGGGCTGCTCCACCTCCAGTACCAGTATTCATGCCCATCATAGAAGGAGACGCCCCGCTTGGCCCACCTGCTCCACCCCCATGTTGAAGTAAATCACGCATCCTAGTAGTACCCCGATCCCCGTCCTCCAGCGCACCGACATCGTGCAGTTTGCGTTCGGATTTGAGCTTGAACTCTTCGCGCTTCTGAGCTTCGTCAAGCAAGGCTTCGTAAAGTACGCCAAAGTCTGCGGCGGTCTCCACGCGAAAGAAACTGCGCCGCATTCCCGCTACTATTGGCCCAGACTGCTCCTCTGCCTCTCGCTCCAAAAGCTCCACAATCTGCTCTTCCATCTCCAGAAGTTGCTGATTTATTAGAACGAGTAAAAAAAGTAGGAACAGTAGAAGTCTATGCCTAGCGTCATCATGCTGAAGGTGCTGCCACAAATCTTGATCATGATCGTGGTGATCGCTGTGTGGAGTATGAAAACTACTTTATGGTAAATATCAAATTATTTTTATCCACCTACTTATGTCTACCAGGAGCCTTGACCTAGTGGTCTTTCCAACTCTATCCTGCATGCATGCTCCACAATCAAGAGCGAAAATTCACGTAGACGGTGTTTCAAGATATGGTCGGGTATCTGTATCATAACTGCGTCTGACTAAGGATAGCTGCGTTTTGGACTCCTCTCTGCGTCATACTTCGGCTTCCTTGGTTGGATGAGGTCCCACGCACCCCCAATGATGATACTGCACTCCGATCCGGTACCGTTCGTCCTGCCAATGTGTTGTAAGAACCAGTCGCCAGCACGGCAGCGGTAGGCGTCGTGCCTAGAGAGGTTACGCCGTTTCCAGATCCATCTCCTAGTAGTAGTACGTGTTGATGCCCTTGCATATCGCAAAAATCTAACTGAAGTTCGCCTTCCTCTGGTGTCAGGCCCGTTCGTGGCGTGCGGCCACTGTGGTCGCTGCGTAGATTCATCATCCCGGGTAGCTGCTCCTGTTGCGAGTTAGCGCTCGGCGTGATTCCACCTCCACCTCCCTTGATTGGGACACCTTGTTGGTCCCGGGCCTCGTTGTCAGAGCCTGCATCGGAGTCCGAGCTCGCTGGCGATGAGTGCCAGTTAATAGGCGACATCAAAGCGCCAGAGCTACTGTTGAACCACGCAGAACCGGCGGCAGCCGACGGGACTCCTTGTGTTGTCGAGGAGGTCAGATGTTCAAATGAACCCGGAGTCGTATCTTCGCCCGTGGTCATGCTCCTTTGCACCTGGTGTCCGGAGGTGGTTAATGAAGACGCGCCGTTGGCTACGACTCCTGCCTGCTCACCTCGACCTCCTCGATGAAGAAACTCCTTATGCCCTCTTTTCACACTCGTAGCCACGCCTGTAGGAGGTGCGTTTCTTCGACTACGTGGAGGGAGAGGTGCTTTCATTCCCCGCCCTCCGAGAGCGTCTCTGACCGCCCAGCGTTGCAAGAGGTCCAGCACTGACGGGTAGCCGCTGACGACCCCCAATCGCAACGACAGAAGATAGCTACGACCATCTCTAGTCAGTGCGTCAAGTAGCCGCATCAGGAACTGCCGCATGCGCGGGTGATGACACACGGAAGAGACACCGCCGTCAAGAAGGTGCGGCGCGCCTGGAGCCTCGTTCCCCGTCGACCAGTACAGATGATAGATCGCGACTTGGAGGTACAGCGACGGCCAGTCATGCAGAAATTGTTCTACAATCTCGCAATCTGCCTTCAGACCTTCGTTCTCGATGATCAGAGGCCGACTATCCGCTGTAAGGAGTCGCTGCCGCTCCTGCATGATGGGACGAAAGTAATTTTCATCAACACAAAGAACAGTTTTTTCCATAGCGATGGATCTCGCTAGAAGATGAAACACAGAAAATACGAAGAAGAAGTGAGCATGTTCAAACATCTGGGGCCCGAGAAGGGATGCTCTTTTCATTATCTTCGAGGAGTTCTACATGAATATGCTGAAATAAAATGTACTCCTACCTACATCACTATAACATCACCATTTCAATTTCTTGGCAACTAGCAGTAGTCAATAGTTCATCTTCATCATGTGGGTACTCGAAAAACTGAACTAAGCGAGTAACACCAGACGAGGAGAATAACCGAGAAAAAGACTGAACTACAAGGAAGAGTAGCCTGTCGAGACTACGTCTCGTCATATTTCAGTCGGTAACTCGGCTATTTTCAGTTTTCGATTACCTCCTCCTCGGTTGTGACGCATCCCCTGCTGGCATCGTCCAGAACAACATTTCCTTGGAGAATATGAGGCCTAAGCCGCCGTGCGAGTGTGGCTACGAAGCGTCGACAGCTCCTGGTGAAAAGCAGGTAGTTCTGCGAGGTGTTCAGAGCCTCGTGCCCGGCTTCAGACAAGAACTCTAGCATCGCGGTGACTAGCCTCGTGGTCGAGTGCCCGTCACGTTCGCGTCGACTCAAGGCGTGAATCGCCGCACGAAACTCGGGAACAGCAATGAACCGGGGAACCCACGCTGGCGCGGTACTGGGCAAGCAGCTGCGCGGCGTTGCGCCTGATGCGCCACTTCCGCCGGTTAGTAGATTCATCTGGATGGGCTGTCCTAGACCACCACCGACTCCTCCTCCTCCTCCTCCGACGATCGCATTGTTAAGCTGTGCCTGCTCACGATGCTCGAAATCGATAGGCACTGCCCCTAGATGGCCGAACGAGTGGAGTTGCGCCTTATCGGGACGAAATTTCTGGATAATCAGGTCACGCATTCTCTCTCGAAGCAGTCCACGTGCTCGCTGCTCTATCCGTGCTTCCAGCGATTCTTTCCTCAGCAGCTGGTCAACATGTTGCTGGTCATCGTCACCAGCGACAGCACCAGCAGACGACAAAAACGCCAGACTCTTGTCCCTGCTTCCGAGCATAGCGTTCCACCGAGCAAGAGGTAGCAAGCTTTGCAAGCGACCACGCAAACTGCCTAGCAACTGCTCTGGAGCATATGCGTTTGCACTTTTTTCGTAGAGCCAATCTCCATCAGCATGAACGATTCGATCCGTCGATCCCCGCGTATTTCTCATACCTCCACCTCCAGACGCAGATCCTTGCCCTTGGTGCACAAGTTGTGAGGACCGACCATTTTGATTTATTCCCGAAGCTGCACCTCCTAAGGCACCACCAGCAGAAACATCGTGTCCCATGCCTCCTTGAACTACGCCACCATGTGAACGAAGCAAATCAGCACCAATTGCGGCTCGCTGATGTTCATCCGCAACGTCATTTTCAGGGATCATGCTCACTTGCTGCTCATGCTCACCAGCAGTCGCCATGACACCGCCATCTAGAAGGAGGCCTCCTTTGCCGACGCCTTTCCCCATTGGTGAGGTCCCATCTTCAAGGAAACTCCAATCTTCTGCCGAATCAAAGGATTCCAGTCCACCCGCGTTGGCAAACCGCGCCATGTTTTCGGCACTACGGGGTCCTTTTCACCTATGGGAGGTCCCCGTCCAACTTGATCAGGGTTCGGGTCACGCAATCAGCCCGATGAGTGTGACAACGCTCCTGCGTGCTGAAGATCTCATCACATCTCTGTCGCACGACCAAAAGGGGGCCGACGTCGCAGCCCTAGCTCACGACCAAACGGGGACCTGCTACTTGCATGGCTCTTCTAACAAGAAGTTCTGCTTTCCATGCTGGTCCGTGGTGGTTCAGCTTGCAGCGTCGCAAGACCGCGAACGAGACAAGGACATATTTTAGGTCGTGGCGATGGCGTCATTCTTTCATAATTATACGTACAATTCGGCAACGTCATCATCACCTGTTCGCAACATCGAAAGTGGGACGCAGGAAACTAAGTTAGAAAACTGAAGGATGATTTGTTTCAGAGACCTGTGAAGAAGATGAGAGAAGTAAGAAAGAGGAGAAGACAACTACAACTACAGAAAACGACAGAATAAGTGAGGGAATCAGTCCGAGGATATAGTACCATTTAACAGTAGTAGTAGAAAGGCTGCTGTAACAGAGACCCTCCAAGAACACAACAGTTAGTCCTTATTGTACCGATGATACTGAAGAACATCTTTGCTTCTAGATTAGAATTTATCGCGTGTCAAGATAGTTCTTGTAGCTCGAATATGGTTTGACTTCGATTCGCGGACATTTGTTTGATGCAGATTTTTCCTCTTAAAAGGCTGACTTTTCGGCTGAGCGTTCATTTTCAAGCTCGTGTTCGTGATGGTGATGAATGAAAATTTGATAATCTGCCCACATACAAGTACTGTATACCGTAGCTTTTTCAACGTTCGAGATTGGTTCCCCGTTATCATCAATGAAGTTTTCCTGCTGGCCTATTTAAGTACAGAATCACATCAACTTGTGAATTCCGCTTTCGCCATCAATTGGCTTTTAATGATTCTTTCGCTTTCCTGGCAGCTTTGTCTTTCATTACTCGATCTCTAAACGCTTCCAATTTCTCAGGCTTAAAGTTCGCACCACATAACACCTTCAATTCTGCACAGAAACTCCTGAACGATTCGAATTCTTTCGAATTTTCTACAAAAATTGCACGACTTGTTCCGCTTGCATTTGCTCCAGCACAACTTCCGCTTGCACTTGAAGCGGAAGATGAAACATGAGATAGTCGTGTTGATAGATTTTGATGTTCGGCGCCATCAATACCGCTACCAGTCCCTGCTCTTCTACTGGATCTATTTTCCCTTTCCATTCGAAGCAACGACTTTACTTTTTTCTCAACCTTTTTTCTTCCCGCTAGACTCGTCGCTTTGTGGAATGCCTGTACAGCAAAGTCCTTGATCACGGGTCTGTTCACCGGGATGTACTCTGTCCCTATGTGCCCGTTCTGCCCATCATAGTACTCCTCGACCGTGACTCCCGGTGGCCGCGGGTAAAAAACCTGGCGCTCGACTGCTGAAGGCACGAAATCGAACAAAAAACCGAAAGACCCAAAGCAGGAACGGAGATTTTCTACGGCAATCTTTTTCTTGTTTTCGCCGTTTTCATTTCGATGTAGCACTTTTTTGTCCTCGTCCTCGACAATCTTTTGTTCATCTCTAAGAACAGCGCTGTTCTTTTCTTCTTGATCTTGATCTTGAAGATGTACTTCGTCTTCACCGTTCTCTGCTACTTGATGTAGATCCTCCAGTTCGTCTACATCGTCGTCAAAATTGTACCCGAGTCTTTCAAAATGGTCGAGCGCGCGGGCCCAAAGTTGATCCACGTCCGGATAGTTCTCTTCCCACTGACGTCGTCCGGATGAGAATGAGCTCGTAGTAGTCTCGTCCCCTTCATCAGCTCCAAACAACTCTTGTCGATGTTTCGGCATGTACTCTCTCTGAAAAAACTTCGAAAAACCACGACGAGTTCTGGACGACGACGAGGACCTCGAGTCAGCAGAGTGTCGTGGTGAGTCTTGATCTCCTTCTACCTCTCTTTCTTCCCCAGTCGTGAGGTATTCCAATAGATCTGGATAAAAAACCTCCTGAAAAAACTCTTCCGCCAAGATGTAGTGGAAGCAGCGCATAGGTCGATACACACCGTAATGCAGAAGATTCAAAAGGAGCAAGTCAGTGAACGTCAACAGCTTGCTTTTGCCAACGCTTTCATCGGTGGAATCACAAAAAGGGTCCACGCCAGTCGCAAAGATCATAGCACCGTCTCCTCCTCCTCCTTCTCCAAATGGAGCACTGCTTCCTGCCGGTGCAACGCCCCACTGTTCTGCAGCTACGGGGTCGAAAGATAGACCATGATCCCTTGGACCAAACACTCCTTGATGCAGTTTCGGCAGATGCCTTCCGAGGAGGCGGTTTAGGCGGATCAGAAGCCCTTGCGGCGACAGGTTTGCGCCCGAAAATAGTTTTTGTTGGCAAAGGGCTTGCGCAACCAGCGTTTCAAAAATTACGCACAGAACAAGCCTTGGATACATCCTTCTCACGAAGTCGCTCTCAAAAAAGTCGTATTGCAAAAGCGTATCCGTTTTGATCGGTCCCTTTTCCACGAGGAAAGAAAACAGAAAGACGTAGGTGCGGAAACTCGCGAATACCGTGACAAGCAGTTCCAAGGTGGCGAACGACAACGATCTTCCTATCAGTTTCTTCATCACTGCATCCACTACAGGAGGCTTACACAACTTTGATGGAAGGGATGCGAGAGCCGCCACAGTGCGTAGAAACCGCTTACGCCTTTTGCGGTCACGGGAGACGGTCCGAAACAAAGACCGCATCGAGCGTCGTACACAAGAAGGCGACGGCAATTTCTTCTTCAACAAAGACCGCAGTACGCGTCGTGCAAACGAAGATCTGGAAGGAAGTATATTTGGCTTTATCGAATCCGTAGAGGTAGACGAGACCGGTTTTTTTTCCTTGTTTTCATCTTCGAACATAGTATCGTCTCCTTGGACCGCGTCGAGCTTCTGCTTCAGATCTTCCCGTTGCTCAAACGCCGGCTCTTCCGCTCGCTCCACCTTAAGCTCCGCAAGTTCTTTCCATAAAACATGACGTCGACGCAAAATCTGCCCTTCATCTTGCTCTCCGTCTCCCGAATGCAATTCGTCGCCCGAGGGTGTCGTCGAAGCGCCGTCGCTGTTCCTTTTGATGTGGCCATCTCGATAATGTTGACGTTCTTCTTGGAGTAGAGGAAAAGGATCATGATCATCATGATCACAGATCCCACTAGAGAATCCACAGCCTAGCATCGATGCGCAGAGTGAAGCAAACTCGTCCTCATACTCAACATCCTGCACCACTTTTTTTTTGAAAAAAAAGTCTCCTCGACACAGAGGACAGACCACGTTCTTCAGTTGTGACGCGGGATGCACTCCCCGCTCGATCCGCGAAAGATCTTCCTGTCCCCCGTGGGCTTGACCATTCGCGCGCAGAATCATTCGCGGAAGCACGGCTTCTGACGCTCCCGAGAGAACGTTCTTCTCGTTTTCGCAAGACCGAAAATACTCTCCTAAGCATTCGAAATGCAATTTGTGTCCACAGGGGACAAGTTCTGCGATCATAGGACGATCGTGATCCACCACGTAAGGAGGAGAAGGAGGAGGAGGAGGAGGACAAGAAGAACAGGGGGTACAAAAATAGTTGTCGCAACTACTAGTGCCGCAACTCGCAGAGGAAGGAGAAGTTGTAGTTGTGCTGCCTCGTGGAGGTATCAGAAGGTCGCATTGACAGATAGGGCACTGCTCTGGTCCACGTCCTTTGTCTTCCTTGTGGTTAGCCGCTGATGAAAAATCCTCCTTCAAAGCATTATACAACTCGAAAATGGTTCCTCGCAGTTGCCTCCATTCCGGGTCTTCTTGCGAAGCTCCCTTCCCTGGAGAATTTCCTTCTGCATCTGGGATATGTATTAAATCTAGTAATTGACTCAATTGACCTTGATGTCGATCTCCTTCATGTCCATGTCGATTTTCGTTTCCCATTTCGCTGAATAACCCAAATTCGAGATCTTCTTCACCCAATGCCGAGGCGTGTGTCACTTCGTGAGGCCATCTCCTGCCTCCACCAGCAAATGGGCCGCCATCTTGTCCGGACGGGGGTACAAGTACTGCCTCGACATGTTGACCTCGTCGCATCACCTCCTTGAGGAGGAACAGGAGATAATGAAGAAACATTTGTTGCAAACAACGCATCTTAGTTTTACAGAAATTGAAACACTTTGTTACTATCAAGAGAAAAGTTTACGTATTCGTATTGGGATCACATAGAAGACAGGCTTGAAAATATGGTTAGAAACTGGAACACGAAGAGAAAAGTCAGAAACTCCATTGCAGCTCGTAGTTGCGAACTTCCTATCATTTTTTGTTTTGACGTTTTGCTCGATAAGATTAAGATACGAGTAATCCGTGTACCACAGACCTAATGCATGACCACAAAGGGACGAAAAGCGATTTTTAGCTCGTAGACCTAAAGCATGAAAAAGGGACCAAAGCGATTAGCACAAATCCAGTCACACTCATTAAAATGTACCGGAACAGGTAATACATACTACATAGATAGGGAGTTCCTTCTTCCTTGTTAGGGACAATGAACATGCCAAGCAACATAGTCAAGACCATTTTGAAATACGGCATAAGCAGGTTATGCCGTATTTAAAAATGGTCTTGACTATGTTCATCATCATCATCAGATCATGATCATGATCATCATTATCGCCATGAATAGAGATAAACTGGCACTCATCAACCCCATTGTCGACTAAATTGGAGGCAATGCCTTTTTGAACACCCAGGGCAATCCTCGGCAAGCCGTTATATCCTTCATAGCGGTCGACTATAAGCCTGTCGTCCTCGATGACGAGGATCTTGTACTTGTTGTTGTTGTCGTTAGATGTAGCGTATATCACAGTAAGTCAGGAGTGTCAGAGTAGCCGTACAACGAATCTTCGTGCGTATAACTATCATTTGACTCTTTTTATCTTTCATTTGTATGGTGTAGGTGTTGGCCGTAGCGGTTGCTCCCTAGATAAATCGTAGCTAATTATGATAATTCTGGTGATAGTGATCGCGGATGAGGATGTAGGTACTATGATAGTTTTCTTCTTATTCGCGTGAGCACGGCGTGCATGTCAGCTAGAAGTACTTACTCATTTCTAGTGACTCGGTGGTTTTCGTTTTAACATAAAAAACGGCGGGTAAAAATGGAATTTCTTACACGCACAGCATCACGCGAGTACATGGATTAGGACCTTTGATGTTTTTTCCTCGCTGTGTCAGCTTGAAATTCAACTGTGCCCTATGATATCCCGGCTGCCCTATGCCTAGCTATGCGTTGCTGTTTAGCGACTCTTCTGTGCTTATCGGCTCGCATGCGACTTCGCCAACCGCTCCACGGCAGAATTTTCCAAGATCTTTTCCACCGAGAGACGGCATTCACAAGTCTTGGCAACCTCCGAACACGAGTTACCGCCAGTTGTTGATTCTCATCAGACGACAGCAGGTCGTGGCCAACATGGGAGTTGGAATGCCCTAAACAACTCGTCATAATCTTCGCACTGGATGTAGTTTTCGCATTCCGTAGTACGATTTCGGATGCGCGCTCAGATACATCGAATACCCAGCCGCCGCGACATTTCTGGATCTGGCCCACATGCTTTTCGAGGAACATCTCCTTCAGCTTTTGCTTTTGCTTGTTCGAAAGAAGCGCTAGCTGCTGGTGGTGTCCTCCTGAAGAGCCGGAATATCTTCGTCTGGAACCACTGCGCCCAGTGAGTGCTCCTCGTTGTGCCGAGGAGTAGAAAACTCGTCGTTTTTCCGCGCGGATGAACGCATTTAGCTCATTGCGCAGCACTGAAGTCAGCAGCCACTTCTTCAGGGTATCTGTTGCGGTTATGACCATGTGATCCGGATCGTGGACCTGCAATGTCGCGAATCCGGAACGCGCACCAAGCAACGACTTATTGAGGTGCGATCGCGAAGACCAAGGTGGAAGTGATGTACTCGCACCACAAGACATGAACGATTGATGCAAAGAACCAGTACCGCGACCCTGCTGTTCGTCCACAGCTAGTTGCCCATCAACAGAATATCCAACCTGATGATGTTGATGTTCCCTAGTATTAACGCTAGTGCCAGCGCTTTTGCCGGCGAGGTATGCAAGCGCTCCTCTAAGAATACGCTCGCCACGCTCGTAGTTATCGTCCTCATCTTCCATATCCACAATCTCCTGTTTTGTCGATGATCTCATCTCGAGAGCTTGCTCACCTTGCTGCTCAGCATTCTCGAAAAGTCTCCTGCACAAACTCAATAACGGTGCATATTTTGAGTGTGGCACGGCTAAAATGTCGCTCCAGACATCCTTTGTTGTGGACTTCAGGATCTTCTCCGCTGAAGGCAGCTGGTAGCGTTCGAGCTTGTTCATGACGACCTTTGTCGAGGATGGGTTCGATTTCGATCTTCTAGAAGTCAGAAATTCCGAAACAGTTGCGTCAAGTTCGGCAGATTTTCGGTCTACGGGAGAGCACAAGGTGATCAAACAAGATGAAGATTCATCTTCACGACCTGCTGCTGTTCTTTTTCCCAATTTCGTATGTTGACGGCAAACTAACGCAGCTGCTTTGTGTGCGTAGCTTTCGAGCAGGTGTCGCTTTCGCTGCTCCACACCCTCAACATCTTGCTTTCTTCTGTTCGATTGCACAGGCTGCGTGGTTGGCGAAAACGAAATCACTGTCGCAATTCCAGATGGAGTCGATGTGTTCCCTTTGCTGTCGTTCCTCAAGGCTACCCCACCAGCGCCTTCCAGTGGACGTCCCTCAAGAGCCAAAGCACCAAGGACTTGGTTTTTGATACATGTGTGATCTTCTGAGATTGACATCCCGTCAACCGTGAGCAGAACTGGCATCAAGCCGTCCCAGAACTTTCGTAGGGTGAGGGCTTTCCTCTCCGAACTAAAATGCGGTAAAAGCAACCGGCAACCGAGTTTCTCCAGAATAGGATGCGTCGACAGAGCTTCACACTCCGCTGCTGACGAGGCAAACACCACAGCCAAACGAGCTCCTTGCCCTGCATCCATGTTTTCACCATCTGCGTTTGCTGTAGACAGCACGCCTGCCGGTGCCGGTGCCGACCGACCGTCGTGATCTTCTTCCGAGGAGATGGCATCGTGGTCGTGGTGGTCACAAGTGACAGGCGCCTCTGAATTTAGTATATCATTCATGTCCAACTCAGTTTTACTAATGCTGCCATCATTTCTTTCATCCATCTTCTTGTCGCCTGCAGCTTGACCACTGGTGCTGGCGATTTTCTGTTTCGATGGCGTGACCCTGGTTCGCAGAATATGCACCAAGGCATTTGTGCGTTCTGCATAATCACCGGATGCAAGCTCGCAAACTCTATGCCCTACAATGTTTCGCAAATACTCGCATGCTTCCGCTCCGGTCCGTAGAGCTTCACCTCGTGCCAGCCACGCTTCTCCAGCTTTGGCGTTTTCGTCCTCTGGTCCCCCGATGTCAAGGTTAGGTCTAAAAAAATGTGCATCATGTGGAGAACGAGTTGTAGCTTCTGCTCCCGAGCAGGACACTCTTTCTTGACCTTCTCCTCGTCCATTTGATGGTGCTGCCTGTTTAGAATTAGAGCAGTATGCAGACGATTCGCTAGAACTCGTAGTTGAAGTAGCACATTCATCACTTTTTTCGGCTGCGCTACCTCTATCGGAAAGCGTTATCATTTCCAAGCTGTGACGCCGCGTGAGACGCTCAACTGTGTCAGCCAAAGTGGTAGGCATGGATCCCCGAGCAATGAAGACAAGCTGCTGTTTTTTCGCTCCACTGCCTCGCGCCGAGGCAGATTGATCGACGATACTCTCAACGTGACGGGCTAACGTGCTGGAAGAAGTAGAAGGATCATGCACTTCGGCTTCACCTGCGTCGCAGACTAGTACTCGGAGTTGATCTAGCGCCAGCACGCCACGCTTCACAGCCCAGTGCGCTCTACCACCCGTCGAAACGACCACGTTCGCTCTAGTCAGGGCTTCACCCTGGTCGTCCTCATCGAGCGAGGCGAGCCGAAATCGCTTCGATAGTGCGCCAACGAGGCTCAATGCGAACCCGGTCACCTGCCGTCCGTCTTCGCGACGTGCAACTAGAATCAGGGTAGACGGCCTGGTGTAGGTCGTGTCTGATGAACTTCTCGTTTTGTTCTTGTGTTTACTGCCGCTACACGTTGTCGTCGTCGCTTCTGCAACTGATGCAGTCGCCGGTGTGAGCTGCATTTTCTCAAGATGCATTCGCTGAAATAATGGCACTAGGTAGCTGCAAGCTGCTTCCGCATGGCCGTTTTGTTCGCAGGTGCTGCTCGCATTCGCACGTCGTTTTCTGCTTACTCTCGCTGTTTCAGGTTCACCTGGTGCGCTGTTCGCAGTCGTGTTCGCATCGTTTCCATTTCCATCATTTGACCCTGGTCTATTGAAGAGCACTGTCAATGCCTTACCTCTGAGTAGCGGGTAGAAAGCCCGACGCTGCAAGGGGGAAACATCCTGGATTCCCAGTGACTCCAACCCGTTCCGCAACAGAGGAACCAGTGGGAGATCTCTGAACTTCATACTTTTTCGTCATAGTACTGCTGCTGGTGATCATGGTGGACTCGTCATAGTATTGATCATGCCCTTATGGACTACGATGGAGTCCGAGTATTCCATTCCTTACTCATAGTTCATGTCCTAATCGTCTTTCTTCATTCACCCAGTGTAGTAAGTACCTACGCCTTAACGGTTTTTCTCACTCTATAATTGCTCACTCACACAATGGAGCGCTCGCTCGTACTTCATGCACACCTCCGCAAACAAGGACACCCTCGAAATCTTCAGATGCAATTGAGAAGCTTCTTCTTTTCGAAAGCTACTGCTACCAAACTGATTGATGTAAGATGCAGTTACCACTAGTACGCGACCACCTACTTAGTTGTAAGTAGCGCCACTGCTTCTAGCTTTGAGTGAAATGCGAACACGTTGTTCTAAGTAATTATTGTCCAGAAGGATCATGCACTTATTGCACCCAGAAGCTGCCAGGTTCGTGCAGTTACGTTGCACTTATCACCATATCCTCAATGCATCGGAAAGATCACAGATCAACGCAATCAGTGGTACCGATCACGACCTATAATCAACATCTTGAAACTACATGAGAAAAAATAACGTATCCCATATCTATTCATTCATTTATTCGGAGTTGGAACTACTTTTACTACTTAAAAATTCACTAACATCTCTAATTTTTCAAATTATTTCTCTAGTTCGTATACTCATCTTCAATGAGCTGCTTGGGCGCTAGTACTCAAATACAAATTACTTGTGTGGTTGATCCAGTCCCAGATCCAGAACAAGCATTTGTTGAATGAAGATCTTCGTTCTTTTCCTGACCAAGACCACGTAGAGTCTTCAACTTCGTCTACGTAGGTCACTCTCTTAAAATAGTCCACCGTGGACTAGTAGAGAATAGTATACTAGCGAGTCTGATTTTTCCACCATTGGGTGGCTCCAATACTCCGGTCGTTAATCTTAATTCATCTTACATACTGATACTTATTCATTGATTTCAGAAATATTTCTGCGCACGAGAACTAGATAGAGATTTGTCAAGAACGCTCTTGAAAATCTCGTCGGGGGGCAGGTCCTTGTCCTAAACATATTTCCAAGGAGCGAACTTTACTGCCGAATAACGATAAAAAAATCAAAATGATCATACTGATAGTTCTATGAAAACTGCTTATATCTCCACCATTCCCGTTGAGGCCCAGAACGAGACAACCAATGGTCTATTTGAGTCCATCTCCTAGCCTGACTGAGAGTTGAAAGACGAGATCAAACTACATCATCAGGCACATCAATAGTACCAGATATATAATGACATCAGTTAATATCTTGGATTATGCCTGTCGCTATCGTGATTGTGTACTACAACTCCAAAAGTTTTTGAATTCAGATAAGTAATCAAGAGTTTTTTTTTGTAGTGCGAGCGAGTTCCGATAATTCAAAACCTACCTGCGTACTTTCCGCGTGGATACCGGCATAGGGGGGAGTTCTTAATCTCCTTAACAAATCATACTTGAGAAAATCATACTTTTTCTGGTTCTGATGTACTTGGCATTTTAATACTCATGTCTTGAGTGCTGTGATTGGTGGAGGCATACACAAAAACACAAAAATGGAGACTATGCATAGTAAGCAGGGAAAATCAGTTATATATTATGACGTGGTGCATTTTTTTAGGCGCCACGCAAGATGACGTCGATCCGTTTCCTTGCTGGGGAGCTAGTGCTAGCAGACCACAACCTCCAAGATTTTGACTACACACAAGAAAATCGTGAACTACTTCACATGAAGATTGTGGAATCATCAATGTACTTCTAGTATAATGCTGGTGGAGCAGACCTAATCAGAAAAACAAAAACCGAAAGAAGGCAAGGTCAAGCAAGTACTTATCTAATAATAACTAAGCGCCGGGGGCGCTGTCGTGGTCCTGTCAGCCCCAGAGGTCTCACCTTCGAAGGCAGGTCGGAGCCCTGCGCAGCGCCTCCAGTGAGTGCCCCGCTCGATGGTTGTGCGCACTGGTTTATCTGCAATGGGGTACCGGTTCACCAGATAAACCCACAATGTACTTCTAGTATAATCAAAATTGATGAGTCACTTTGTGTGAATGGTAATATCTATTGGATGAACTGCCGCTTCCTCTGATGGTCTTCCGGAGTTCTACACTCTACACACTGACTCTAAGCACCCAACTGGAGCGGCCAATGGCTGAGCCTTTTAGTTCTAGGTTCTCGGAGATAAAAAAGTCTACTTGAATGTTCTAAAAAAAATCTTGATTATATCATATTACGTCAACTATCTACAAAAACGATCTATCTTCCAGTCTCAAAGTGGATCTCCGTCGAGAGAGAATCTAAGTGGATCAACAAATCGAAGGGAAACGATCTCTAAAAAAGTCGTGGATGTCAATATTATTGACATCTCTATTTTGTCGCATCATATCGATTCCACCTGCGGAGATGAGACATAAAAAAGCTCACATATTCTATAAGCAACAACATCCAATGTGAATGTGATTGTGATGTTTCATCTATGACATTATGTGGGACTGGACACCTCCTATAATCAAATATCGCATGATTTCAAATAATTAATCCTTTATTCAACGTTATCGTTATCTTCAAGAAAGGATACCACTCAAAGACTTTTACCAAGAACTTCGACATACTCTACTTGGCTGGTGCACCTCTAAGTCCCGAGAAGTGTAAATCTTATCACTGATTCAGTAAAGGACTTCAACCCTCCATTATTTCTACTACTAGAGATAGAGGTGTGATAATTTCTAAGTACTCGAAAGCAGTTTCTTGATGCTTCGAAAGCTTAGCCTTCGATGGGCTTTGACATGCATTCACCCGTGGTTTGGACGATGCGCTTGGTCACCTTGTACGGGTCGCAGTTGGCTGCCGGGCGGCGGTCTTCCATGTAGCCGCGCTTGTTCAGGAAGGCTTCACGCGGAATCCGGATGCTGGCGCCACGATCGGCAACGCCGTACTTGAACTCGTTGATGGAGCAGGTCTCGTGCTGACCCGTGAGGCGCTTCTCATTGCCCTCACCGTACTCCAAGATGTGCTCCTTCGCGACGGCGCCAAAGGCCTGGCACACTTTCTCGATCACTTCGTAACCACCTTCCGCGCGCATGGCGGCGATCGAGAAGTTCGTGTGGCAGCCGGCACCGTTCCAGTCACCTAGAAGTTGTAAGTACGTAGATGAATCAATAGAGTAAGTATCAAGTGAGGATCATGTTGATCTTGATGTTGAATGATCATGGATTGAATGAGGAGGCGGGAGACGTCATCATGTCCCTTGTCAAAGTCAAAATTTTCAGGAAAAATATTCTACTAGTAGTACTACCTAGCACGACATTGAAAAATATATAGTTATAAGTAAGTAAATTGGTATTACCTTCCATCGGCTTTGGTTCATAGGTCACTTGGACGCCCAAATCTTCGGTGACGCGGTTCATGATGTAGCGTGCCATGTGCAGGTGGTCACCCATTTCGATGCCTTTGCAGGGTCCGACTTGGAATTCCCACTGACCCGGCATCACTTCGGCGTTCACACCCGCGATCTTGACACCGGCATAGAGACACTTAGCAAGATGCACTTCAGCGACTGAACGACCAATAGACACACCAGTTCCCGCTCCACAGTAGTAAGGTCCTTGCGGTGCTGGCTCACTGCCGTCAGCGTTGAAACCAAGCGGGACTTTGCTCACTTCTCCGTTCTTAGCTGTTGTAGTTGATGTAGTTTTAATAATCTTCAACTGTTTGATGTGTGATACTAGTATTCAAATTAAAATTTGAATTTCGTGGTAATAATTTACTAAAAACAAGCATCAAATACATTCATAGTAGTACTTCTACAACAACTCTAACTCATATGCAGGGCAGCTACACGCAAAAATAAGGTTAGAAGTACGTGCCGGGGCAAGAAGGGTGTATTCTTGCTCAATGCCGAACCAGGGATCCAGGTTAGCGTATTGATCCATCATCGCAGCGCAACCGGCACGAGCGTTTCCGATAGCTGGCTTCATGTCCGGTGTGACGCATTCGGCCATGACGAGAATATTGTTTCCACCGCGGAAGGGATCCGCAAAGATGGCCCGCGGGATGAGCAGAATTTCGGAATCGGAACCGGGAGCCTGCTCCGTCGAAGACCCATCGAAGTTCCAGATCGGCAAGTCGTCGGCCTGATTTATATATTCAACTTCGGTATTCGTAATCTTACTAGTTTCCTCGTCTTTGCTGATGGTATGAAGATCATCATGATGATTAAGAATATCAAAGAATAACTACAACTTGTCGTTGATGTCATTGCGCAGGAGTAACAAGTACAAGTAATACTTAGTTTTTTTCCTGGTGCAAGAAAGTTGTACTTAATACCGTATTGGGCTTCTTGGTCAAGGTCTTCGTCTTCGAGCGCGGTGTGCCATGTGCATCAAGCCAGACATACTCAGCGACAGGGCAGTTAGCATAGGACCCCTTGGGGCCCAAGCCGCTGCCTCCAAGATCGGGGCCGGTTTCAACCGCGTTGCCGGCGACAAGCTTCCAAGCTTCAGAGTAAGACATCTTGTGTAGAGTTTGTTGGTTGTTTTGGATCAACCGTCTAAGTTCCTCTAATATTTATTGCTGCTGTACTATTCCTATTCGTGTTAAAAAACTGATTAAACTGACTACTTGTCCTAATATTATATTCGTCATTCTAAATGTTGTTGGGTTTGTAATACGACAATAGCTGATTCTATATCTAGTGATTGATGACGTTCGCTACTTTGCAGCTACGCCGTAGCCTGTAAAAACGTCAACTTTTGTCGTTTTAAGAGAAGAGAGACTCTTCTGTTGAAAGATATCCTTCTACACAAGAACAGGCTGCATAAATTTTCTTTCAAAATAGTGAACCAGAACGAGAATGTTTCAGATAGCACTTAGAAGCAAGAGCCTACAATTTCTTCTGGCTACAAACCCTACGCAGACCGCGGGGATGTTCAAAAAAGCTAGGAGAAGAAAGTCGAATCATTTTCTTATTTTTCTCTGTTATCGCGCATTTCCAGAAAAATTGGGATCATGCAGCTGCAGGAGGAGCTTTCTAAATCTTATCAATATGAGGCGACGACGGAAGCGGAACACCTGAAAAACTCGTCTCTCACACTCACAACAAGGAGCAGGAACATGGTATGTTCACTGCACTATCCCTCACCCTCGTGCCCGAAAGAGAAGAACACAGATCACAATGCGAATGATATTGATGATATCTTGAATATTAGAGCTCTCGTCTCAACATTCTCTCATTTTTTAGTCGTCACTCAACCCGTACCCGGCGAAATCTACAAATTGATGTCAATCGATAGATCCGACTCTATCTCTCTTCGGTACAGATCAAAACGAGGAACAGAAGCTGTCTCTCGAAAGCTGCGAGGACTGTGAAATGAACAAGAACAACACCTGGTATGAACAAGAACAAGAACACAAACACAAATTGTAGAGTACTCAGCTCCAAACTGCTCACTCTAAACAAAGATGCCTCGACGTTGACTAGGAAGACAGAACACGAAATAATCCATGACAGAGAATCCAGTTCGTGGTCTGACTCGCAACGAGTGCTGTCTATACTGTCAACATGGTGAATGCTGTCAGAGAGGGACACGACTACATGATTCAAGGTCATTATAACTGGAATCAATTTCTTGAGCTGATGTTGATCGAGATTGAAAGTTAAACAGCAGTAGAGAGAGCACGGTAAAAATCGACTAGTTAGTACAGCCAGGTACTGGAGGCTGGCGTCTCACATTCACACTAGCATGCATGCTAATGTCCCTGTTATCACCTTTCATAGTGACCGTAGAGACGTGGTCTGACAGTGTTTCTGTGACACTGGCAGCTCTGGACAAACCTTGAGGTAAGCGAAAGTGCAGGGAGCTACTTCTACTAGAGCAAAACTCATGTAGGTGCCCACTGCCTCCACAATCATCCAGGCCAATTCCTGATAACTTTCCGTGCGGGAACGATGATGTGGCACGAGGAGATGACATCTTGTGCCCACTCTCTGACCGGCTATACACACTACTTGCGCATGTACCCCCAGCCTAAGGCACTTCTGGATCCAATCGTTCATAGACGGTTCACATCAAAAACATCAAAGACGTGGTGACATGCCGCGTATGCCGAAGAGACCTCTAGATCATCAATATGTTTAATCCGGGCACATCATCAGGAGCTGTCTGTACTTGTTTTTAACAGACACGACGGGCAAAGCACGTCAACGAACACCCACAAAACCAGCAGAGAAGGGAGAACAAGACTCGTGACACGCTAGCAAAAAAATGAGAAAGATACAACCAAAAATCTCTTCGACCATCAACACCTCTATTCTTATGATCTAGAAGAATCGAAATTCCGTAGTGCGTTCTTTTGACCTTGCCGACGGAGCCGCTGTGGCTTTTTCGGTGGCTCAAAGCCGTCGGCTGACCTCCCCCACATCTGCTCCGGTGACGGAGGCTGTGCCTGAAGCGCCGTCCTATCCCTATGTTCTTCTCGCACGAATTCTCCTAGCAATTTGTTGCGCACTTCATCGAAATCTGCGGCGTTGCTCTTCTCGTGGTTGATGTTTCCTATTCCTAGACCTCCTAGTTCATCTTCCGAATCGACATCCTCTTGCTGGTCATGATCTGTATTACTCCTCCGATCCATCTGTTGAGTTCGAGTCGTTCTTGTATTTGCATCTTCATCAATATCGTCAAACTCCTCGACGCCTGATCCTGATGCTTCTCTTCCTGCTCTTGCTTGTCGATGTTGAGGGGCGTTGTTATCCATTTTCAGTAACTCAGAACTAGACAGAGTGGAACCAAAGAAAGGCTCGTGACGCTTCAGAATGCCGCGACCACCTTGTTCGCGGTTAGAGGACCTCTCTGCTAATCCTGCATCGTCTTCGTCATCCTCTACGATGTCAGTCCAACCGATAATGGAAGATGAAGACTCCTTTTGCTGTCCATGATGTGCTCGGCAAGTCTCGCTAAAGGGTGTTGTACTTGTAGACGCTCGTGGTTCATCTGCAGCTTCCTCCGAGTGCCTCCACGTGATGGTATTCAGCTGTGCATCTACCCTCCTGTCACCCACAGAGATCGTCGATTGGAAAGAGTCTCCAGAACAACCGCGATCACGACCATTCTGATTTCTATCTCCTGAAAGATGGCTAATTTCTCTTTCTGTACCGCGTCGGTGTCCGTCGACATGATCATCATCACCTTCGTCTTCTCCAGCATAATCTGTGGTATCAATTCCGGTTATCAGCGAACTATTGAGGAATTCGGCACGGCGCCGTCGTTTCCGCTGGCTGCGCTTTACGGAAAAAGCCCGCTCTAGGTGATCCAAGTTGCGCCGCAGAAGATCACACAGATTTCGATCGCGTTGGGGCTCTACGAAACTCGTTACGAGACCCTCTCGACCCATGCGCCCCGTCCGGCCCGCGCGGTGCAGAAAGGCAACCGCGTCGCGAGGCATCTCGAAATTCACGACGTGTGCCACGTTGCGCCAATCTATGCCGCGTCCACCAAGGTCTGTGCACACGAATTTTATGAAACAAACGAAAATCAGGAGGAAGGGTGAGTAATAGTACTAGTATGAAGATGAAGTAGAAATAGAGAAGCACAACTGGTTTGAAGACAATCCTCGAAACAATCAGCGGATGCACGACATCCACATGCCAAAAAGGAACTAGTACTAGTATACTCCTGCACTCATGACACTACTCTATCTCTAGTATGATCTAGATCTAGTTTACCGTCTTCGTCTACGAGACATAACATATGATGCCTCGCCCGAGTGGAATTTTCTGGCATCGCGCATCCGAGCACCGATCCGCGGCCCGCTGGCATATTGAACAACGGGCCACTTTTTGTCAGCAAGGGTTTTCGTGAGAATCTCCGCATTCCGTGTCTTGTTTACGAATATCAGCGTCTTCTCCGCATCCAGTCCTGTATCGTTTTCATCATTGTGGCTTCTCAGCGTCTGTCTGTATGAAGGTGGTGGAGGGTTAAACAACCTAAAAATTAACGTATAAATATGAGATGAAGAAGAAGATCTTTGTACGGGAGTGGTATATTGCTCAGTGGCATACTTCGACGTATGGTCAATCATCTACAATGGCCTTTCTCTTAGTATGACAGCTTTTCCTTTCTTAACACCTGTCGTTCGCGGAGCAGATCAAGTAATTGCTGTACTCGTGCATCCCAGTCTGCAGATGCGTCCTGAATCCACCGCAGCGCAACAGTATCTGGCAGTCTGATTAGAACCACCAAAATAGTGCTCAGTGCTGATCGAAGGCTGCTCCATAATATTCCATCTGTACTAGTATTTGTACTTTTTATTTCATCTTCTCGTACCAACAACTACAAAGTCATTTGAAGGTGTCTTTGTATTTCTGCCATAATCGGTGGTTATCGCTCCCTCCGCCGATACCGGACACATTTGTGGAATTCCAAAGTGAAGATTCTTCATTGTCAAAGGGATTTCCACTTCCACTATCTGGATCGTGGTTGTCCATTCCACCTTTGAGCTTGGTGTTTCTGTCGTCGTGGACGTTGTACAAATTGATAGAGTTGTTCGCGGTGGCGGTAGTACAAGAACCTGTACTTGTCCGACTTCGAGTTCCGCTTCCCGCTGATTCTAATCTGACTTTGTCAGTTTCTGGGGCAATAGTTTCCGCGGTGCAGAATCTTTCGATCAGCATGTTGCCGATTGATAAGGGCCCAAGATGGACCATTGTAGCAGCAGAGAACACAAATTGCGTTTTCACCAGTGGAGGCATCAGGCCTGCTCTGCTCTCGCCCGGCTGTCGAATTCGTAGTCGTGGTCGAAGGTGCTGGTTTCATGAAGAGAGAACGTACTTTTAGGAAGAAAACACAGTAACTACTCATCTCCAGTAGAAAGTAATACGAGAAGTGCGCAGTGCATAGTACTACCCAGGGTGCAAAACCAGCTGAAAGGAAAACATTCCTGCAACTCCCTGAGAGTTCTCATACCCATGGGACCCATAGGACATGCGCATAGTCCTTGTTCTTGTGAATATTTGCCGCCGAGTATGTTTGAATTTGATTTAAACAGCTTAAAATCAGAATTTTAGGATTTTGGACATGTAATTTGAAAAATGTTGTTTGTTGAAAATCTAAAATTTGCCAAAATGTAAGTTTCAAAAGTACGCACTTGCGACTTGAAAAGCGACGACGTGCTTGGATTGATTTTGAAGCGTTTGAATTAAAAAACAAACCTAAGATTCTCGATGACGTTAAGGATAAAAAATGATGTAATTTTCAGCACTCTAAGAAAGGCTGAACTTTGAAAACTCTTCAACGTCCAAACATACATGTTTGAAGCTCATCAAAACCAAAAAAATTTGATTTTATCCAAAATAAATAGAAATTCAATTATTGACTTGCATGTCTCTTGGCTTAAAAACTTTTCAAAATTAACGGCACATTTTGCAAATACTGGGAAAAGAACGCACCGACTTCCCTCGAGCAGCTCGGCGCCGCAATGGGAGCACCAGGCTGAAGAGTAGATGGGGAGGCGCGCCTCGAAGGACGAGGAGCAGCAATGGGGAAGATTCTAGTCGAGGAAGAGCTGCCGGACGCTTGCATCACAAGTTGTAATAGTAGGATTATATCTAGCTACTATGAATAATGGGAATGGTGCCATACAATGATATCGTAGATGTAGGTCCTCGAGGCGCCATGAAAGAGAAGATCCGCCTCGTCCAGGACAAGGGTTTCCGGAAAATATCCGTCTCTGGCCAATTGTGGTAGGTCTTCCGCGAATTTCGTTGGTGTCCCCACAACGATATCAACGGCACCCCACCGCACCCGAGGAGACGCTATCAACTGCGCGCCCTGCTGTCCTGTGGTAGTCAGCACGCCATCGCCATTTTCGTCCAGAAAACTGCGAGCCCAGCTTGTCCCCACGCTTAGCGCTAGATGAAATCCATGTGATCTAGTAGAGCACCATGGTGCCTGTTTTCCCTCAAGAAACAGACCCAAGATCCTCGTGATGGGGACTGAGAACGATAGCTGGGGTGGACTTTTTGAAGCCTTAACAAGCTCTGAATGACGACAGAATTCAAGCCCAGTCTGTCGATCCGCTGGATGTCACTGATAACCTGAGCACAGAGGTCCGCTGTTGGCGTCACAATGACCACCGGACGCGATTCATGGTGATATTCATCGTCACCAGCACCAGGAGAGCTTGAGGAGAAAAACAATCGCGAGTCACGGTCAACAGCACTACCTCCACTGCCAGCACTCCCACTCTTGGAGCTACCGCAGTCGCATCCTTGATGAAGAAGCCAGCATGTTGAGCATTCCTCCTGTACAGCTGCCCGTTTCTATTATTCGCCTGAACTTAAAAAATAACCCAGGAGGAATGATTGACGTTCGTGTCGTGAGGATGCAACTGCCGTAGCCATACCACTCCCTCTTTCTTGTTGGTAGTATATGCGATTGAGCACGGGTAGCAAGTACGCGAGGGTCTTCCCTGACCCCGTCTCAGAGCGCAAAATGGTATCAGTTCCACCCATTTGCGTAGCCCAGCTGTCTGCCTGGATGCGTGTAGGATGCGATATGCCACACTTGCGCAGCGCTTGGCACAAGGAAGGATGGACCTCCAGATCCGAGAAAGTTGTGCACCAGTCAGAAAATACTGAAGAACTGCTACGTCTACGTCGGATTTCCATTTCCGGATGATATTTTTGATAGGCATTAGCGTCAGGAGACTCATCTAGAGGTCGTGAACCAAAATAACTACCTGTGGATGAAGTAGTGTTTCCGGCAAGATGTTGACCACTCGCAGTTGAAGAAGATCTTGATGTCGTGTATGACCGAGGAAGTAGGGTAGCTGCAGTATAAAGCGCGTTTTTCCATGATTGATGTTGTGGTCCTCGTACTCGTTTTGTTATTCCGATCTCTTGAGCGTCTACTACGTAATGTCGATACGGTCGGAAACATAGCGGCCGCGTCATCGGAGCTCCTGACGCTGACCCTATCATTTGTATCGAACAACCGGTCGCCGACATAGACTGTCGCCTCAGCCGTAATACCCGCCATCGATTCTCCCTCAGCCGTGGTCCTGCCATTGCGATTGTGACTCCTGGTCGTGGAGACAGTACGTCTATAGCCACATCCTCTTCCACAACCTCACGCGGGGCGTCGCTCTGCTGTAGAAGTTGTTGATCCTTCTACTAGTGGTCTCATCGTGTTGAGGTAAAGTGAAAGAGTTGAATGGGCATAAGGCGTATGAAGTCTCGAGCCTCGAGCAGTCAATCAGTCAACCAATCAATCAGTCTGCCTCCACAGGACTCACGTTGCTTTTTTTGTAGTCCGAGAACGCCGAAAGGGCGATCCCAGTGTTGTCCGGTGTCATACACAAGAGTTGAATGACTCACGTCATACACAAGAGTTGAATGATTCACGTCATACACAAGAGTTGAATGATGAATATCACCATTCACCAGCGGCCTGACAATGAAAAGATCCTCCTTCATGTAAGATCAACGTCTCTTTTCCGGTACCAGATCCATGGCAAATTGATCGTCAACCTCGTCTCACCAGGATCGTGCATGGCCTTGTCCCCTCCCGCGGACAGGCATGTAACTTACTGGTGTCCAACCGGTAACTTCTACATCAAGATGTAGATGTTCTACTTGTAGTTGTAGATCCTTCTACTAGTGGCCTCATCATGTTGAGGTAGAGTCGTGCATACCAGTAACATACTTGTAGTTATAATACATCAAAACGAACACCTCACTCCTGTACGGAGATCCTTGTGAATGGAAGATGTGCCATCAGTCGATAGATCCTCGTCTTCTTCCTTCGTCCCATCAAATGGATATTAGTACAGTCGACACTCCTCGACCTCGAAGGATCATAAAATAAAGAGTGTCAGCTGCCTTAAAAGTACTAGGAGGAAGAATATCACTGTAGTAGACCCGAGCGGTGAACTCAAGATCCACCGCCTCAAATCATTCATCCATGACCAGTAGAAGTAGGTACGATTCTGATTCTCAGTCAACCTCTAAAATCAATAAGATCAGGGAGAAGTAGATAACTAGTTGCTGTAGATCAACTACTTTATTAGAAGGCAAACTTTGAGTGACTGATTGACAGTGCTCGTATTATGAGTTTAACAAGAAGAATGTCGATAGGGGAACGGCGTGATGATGTAAATCTATTCCGCAAGTTGGATAAGATTTCCGTCTTTTCCTTCTTACTCAATACAGGAACGACAGTGTTCCCTTATCTTTATTGTTTTCAACAACAAGTCGTCCTCGTCGTGGCGTCATCCAGTTGTATAATGAACGGCCAAAATGATCTACACGACTCCGTCAACTATCTGATCGTATATTCCTTCGCAAAACTGGGTGCTCGCCAAAAGCTCCGTTTGCGTCCCGTCAAACAAGGGACGTCGTGCACCGCGTATTCACCTCCTGTAGATTAGGTGGTCCACCAAGATCTGCATCAGCTATAGCTATTAAAGGAGTTCCGTCAACTAAGACAGGGCTGCTCCCTACAACCAGCTGTGGTCTAGCATTCGTCGAGTTTGCATCCGTGTGTGTTGGGCCTAGTATCACCATGATCTGGTTCGCAGATCAACGGGATTCGTCTCTACTCTTTCCATCATTCTCCGCTTCCCAAACGTGACGTCGCGAAAGTACGCCATCCAGCAGATCTACCTCTACTTCGACAGTGTATTATTGTTCTTATTATGCTCGCGCGCGACACTGTTTTTTCGTACGTGACGCGCACGCGGCGCCCTTACCGTCTGTCACTACACAAGAATAATATGAACCGCAACCACTGGTGGACGCCTGCGACTACGGACGGCTGAAGGTTCGTTTGTGTTTGTTCTCGATTGTTCCGGAACAACGTGTCGCATGATCATGATATTGCGAATTGTTAATCCTCGGCGCTCCTCCTGTCTCCATTGAAACAACACGGCGGACAACGAACGAATGAGAAGCTACATGTCTTCTTTCATCGAGTAGCAGGCGCATCGCCCTAGTGTGCTTCGATGTAGATACTTTTACTTACTAGAAGAGCCAGCTGTTCTAATTGCTGCAGAGATCGGCGTGCTAATAAGCTGATTTGCTGCAAAGGTGGGGGGTACTTTATTGCAACAACATTTTATTTTCTAGGCGTCGAACATGAACATCCATTTACAAAGTCTGGTGATCATTCTTTGCTTCAGGATACCTTCACCGAGATAGCTTTAGATACAGTTTGATGGACGATCACTGGCAGCCGCAGTGTTGATGATGATGAATCCCACTGCAGTGTTGATGGATCCCTGAAACTACTAGTTGTTGAGGCGACACAGTCAACAAAACGCCCAAAGCATCTTCCTGTGCGTGTGCTGCTAGTGGCACGGAGCCAAACGAGCCTTCGCATGATGATTGCATGACGCGACCACGGTCTATATCACTTGCAGACAAGTGAGGAACCCTTTGATCTTTCGCGACTCCCGGAATATCGTAGTTGAAGAATCCAGCACAGCATGTTGACATCACAGTCGCAGAGATGAAAGTCCAAGTAGTCCAAGCACAAAATATCGGAGAAAAAATGACACACACACTGTATTTCGTTGAGACGAAAGCATAAAAAAGAAAGTCCAGACAAGCAGTATCCATACGCGATGATGATAAAGAAACTTCTGACTGATGCTGGCCCACATCCTGTGACAGGGTTATCAACTACAAAAGACAGAAAGGAGCGAAATTGGTCATGTGAATACGTGCTTCTTCTAACTATGCAAAGATATCATTCTAAGTATACATCATGTGTTTGATAGACTACAGATGAATTTGAATACGGATAAGAAGATGTAGTTCGTTGGTTCCATGATACTAGTATGAAAGAATGCGGATTATCAGTATGTATTGACATAGTCGTGTGCGTGGTTAAAACGGTTGTGAAATAGTGAAAGAACAAGATAATATGGAGATTCCGACTACCTAGGGATAAATCTAAGTAGTACGAAAGGATTCATTTCAGTTCATTTGAAAATTATATTAGCATGACAGTGCAATTTCCAGGCGTGACTCTTTTTCATCTAACATCAAGCGATCGCTGTGCTAATTTTCGGAAAAACGAGAAATGCAAGCGTTTTCTAAACTGAATTGTTACAAGGCTATTTCTCAACCACTATATGTCCTGTTCTTGAAACCGTCCCACACTGTCAAAATAGATTATCTACAATTTACAAATCCAAAAGCTACTACAATATGAACATCATGATGTTAACCCGCCTTGCTATTTTTCGATCATAACGGTAACATTCATTATACACCTTCTAGGCTTAATATGAGAATATGTGAAGCCCTACTACACCTAGCAGCAGACATGCATGACGTATGTGCATGGTGACGGTTCCGTGAAGTAGGACCCTTTGCATCCGTCTCTTGCCTTCTTCACAGTTGCACTGCGCTTCTTGCCGCCTGGGCAATGCAGCGGTGTGCCATTCGCAAACAGCTTGTCGTTCCAGGTACCAACGTGGATATTCAGACTGCCCTTGCCCGGTTTCGACTTCTGCGTCAACACGTTGTCGCGCACGAAGTAGTCGTAGGACTTGTCGGTGAAGGCGCCCTCTTGCGGTCCGCTCGGGACACATGTGAGCAACTTCACCTCCTTCGGCACGCTCACGGTGGTTGTGGTCGTGGAATATGAAGAAAGTGTAACTAATTATGGGGTTATTATAAGTTAAAAAGTCAGTCATCGAGTTTTAATAGTTGCAGCTTCTTAGTAGAGCAGATGCACTTCTACCGAGGAGGACAGCACACTTCTAGGGTATTTCTATTTCCTTTTGCATTTTTCTACAACAGCTGTTGTCTTCTCTAAAAATTGGAATTTTCCTAAACTTCTACGGAATTTCTCTAAAAATTGGGATCATTGCTTTCGTTTTCCCGTCATAAGGTTGTGGTGGTGGTTGTGGTTGGTTCGGGTTTCTCGGCAAAGCATTGAGCGATCAGCTCCGTCTTCGGCTCGAGGGCTGCTTTGAGTGTCTCACCGGCCACCGGGATATAGCACTTGGCGCTATGACCAGCACCACAGTCAGTGCCAGTGTACTTCATCACTCCCGTCATCTCCGAAAACAAGAGGCACATCACCTGAGTACATGATCGTCGTAGTAGTTCATCGTCATCGTATTGTAACAAGCACTTTTGTGATGTAGTTCATCCTCAACCTCATGATCGTTACGACGACCAGAAAACAGATTTGATGTAATGGAAAAAATGTATATACAACAAAGTACATGTTGTTTTGGTTTTTAGGTTCAGGCCATGCATGTATGTTACATCAACTGTCGTCATTCGGGGCTCTGGTGGTACTAAAAAATCTTGACCCTACTTACTATTGAAACAAGTACCTCGCCAGCCTCCTTGTCGAGGTAGCCGTTGTAAGTCTGGAATCCTACACAAGTGTTGGGGGCGAGAGTCTTGCGGCAGCGCGCTGCGCAACCCGCAATGCCATCCACAACAGCGCTCACCGGCATGATCACTGTGCCTGCGCAAGAGGCATCCTGCGGCTGGCTGTCTTCCCCGACTGCGACGGAAGCATAGAACCTGCTTATGTGTTTCAAATCCATGCGGGACAACGCTGAGTGCTCGCAGAGGAGCAACCAACCGTTGCCCAAAAAATCCATCATTATTGCACAGATTTAGACTTTTTAGAAAATTTAGAAATCCATTTCCATTCAAGTCTGCTACTTCGTCTTTTCCTCTGAATGTTATCGTAATTCTTTGTAATCGTAGCAAAAAAAGTAAGTCGATACGTGGCCGCATCTGCGTGGCCTCCGCCCTTCGGAAAGACTGTTTCGGCAACTTTCTCCAATTCCCAAGTATCATAGAGGACTTTCTGCGCTGTTGCGTTCAAAGTTCGAGTCATTTCAATCAGTTCTTGCGGTCCCAGCTTCGCTGCTTCCGTCTGATAGGCGCTAGTTTGCTTCTTCAACAAATCGATGTCCGCCACGGCATCGAAGGTGAAAGCCTAGTTTATTTTATCAAATTTCATTATAATGGTAACGGTATTCACAACAAATTCAGATGTAAGTGGGAAATGTTCTCTGTTCGTCCCAATTCCGATACATTCTTGCCCAAGAAGACCATGCTGCAATCTAAAAATGGAAAATCTAAAAAATCTAAATAATCTAAATCTCAAACACCAGCACAGAGGAGAGATAAATGAGAGGTCGTTGTAGTACTTTCACGCGATCTGCGACGGCGTTTTGCGATGCCATCATGTCCTGGTGGTGCTGCAACGCGATTTTATTGCCAACCTTTCCTTGTGCATCCGCAAGCACTTTGCCGCCATCTAGGATGTCCTTTGCCGTGCCCAATGCGGTATTAAGAGTCGACTGGAGCTCATCGGCAGTCGTGAAATAGCTCGCCACGATATCTGGGGACATCACAGCCGGCGGTTCGCACCCATGCATTTCGAACAGACTGGCCTTCGTTTGCCCACCACACATTTCACCCGCGTTGCCCTGATAGGTAATGGAGATGTGGAGGACGTGGGACCTATATTATTTCTGCTCTTAAAAATCGTTATGGACTACTCACCCAATAGTCCTTTCTTGTGTACAGTACAGTGGAATCAAAAAATTGTTCCCGCGGGGCCTAGATATGGGGGGGGATACCCATGTCTTTCCATCAAGATATTCTTAACTTGTACAAGACACTGTGAGTGATGGTCTATTCTTCTTCGCCTTGATTGAAAGCAAAATTACTGAAAGCAAGAGCTAAGCAGGACTTGTCGTAAGACTCCAGATGCTGGTTCATCTTATTCATTGAATAAGAATTTATCCGTAAGCCCAGTTGTCTTGTCCAGTTTCACATTGATTCACCAGTTGTTGTCGTATTTCTATCCGTATTTTTGCAGTCTTCATGTTGTCGGGACAAATACTGAAGCAACTTATCAATATCATGTAATCGTTTGCGTTTCGGATGTACAGATGTACTAGATGTAGTTGCACCTGCACCAGCAGAACTCGTCGAGATACTATTCAATCAGTAGTACTTCGCATGCCATGTCGCAGTCCTGACTGCTGCCAGCCGCCATTACGAAGTACGGTGAGCAATAGCATTCGCTTCCGCGCACCAATCCGAAAAATTGCATGCCCTCTTGGTCCTTGCAAAACTTGAAGCAGACGTCGTGTGTCATAGCTTCTTGCTTCGGCTTAGGCACTTCCTTGTCGTAACGAATTACTGATCTCTTAGAAGAAGAAGAAGAAGAAGAAGATCAAGATGTCTTTCAACAATTCACTTCATTCGGGATGTTGCAGTTGCCTCTAGCGCTTATTAACTTAAGCGCTTGTTGCCTTGCAGCACTAGTTCTGGTGTTGTGACCGAATTATTGAAGCGCCACGTGGCTGGCGAGATGAATATCCTCAATATATCGTTATCGACTATATAATGCATCACCGTTCTTATTTTTCGTTCTATTTTTCCAGATGAATGAATATAAAATCCGTGCAAGATATTCCAAACAGAAAAAGACCGGCATCTACTACGGGAAAGGAATGAACTCAGAACAACTCTGTTCTTGAATCGTAAAGATCGGATGTTGTGCGTCCGAATACGACATCGGGTTTCCTGTCTTGTCACCGCTGACGAGCAACTCGTCGTTGATACAGTCTGTGTAATGAAAGCCGGTGGTAGTGGTCACATTGGTTGGAATCTGCTCTATCTGGTTTTTCCTCCCGTCGAAGCGGAGACCCTGTACCCCAGCAGGCACGCAAACCGCAGCTGCAGCGACTGCCAAAGCTCCTGCCGGCCGGCGGCCGCGCAAGGTACTCAAAGACATCTTTTTTCCTTCTCTCGGCCTTTCTTGGTCAGACCTCTGGCACTGGACACTCCTCAGTAGCCGTTTCACCAAAATGGATCTTTTTGGCTCTGCACATACCACCTCGATATATAATTCATCTTGCAATTATTCAAGAAGATTCGGACCATAATCATTCACGAACAAATGAAAAATTCAATCAGCAACAGATTCAAGAAGGAAGATCATGTGGTTATATTTGATGAATGACAATGTTCTTGTTCATCAATGAATATGAGTGTTAGTAGCACTACAACCGATTCTGGAAGACTTCAAGCTGGTCCTTCCTAGATGATTTCTAGTCACGACCCACGCGCACCATCTTCAGATCATCGTAGTCATCATCTGTTTCTGTTTGTGCAATCAAGCAGATCCTCACTGAGACCGGTGGCTCTTCTTGCCGCCGTTGCGCTGCAGCTGCTGTCACCCAGACTTATACACTAGACTGGAAATCGAACAAGAATATTCGGCTATGACATACTTAGCTGTCCGCATGAGCACGATGCGCCTGAAGCACCGACGAAAACAAAACTCTTTGCGTATGATCCATCAAGATGTGCGAAAGCTCAGCGAAAAAAACTTCTACCAGTTTGAAAAAAGACTGTTCCCGTTTACTTCACGTGCCCTGCAGCGCTGGCTTAAATGCAAGAGTGAGGTACAGAATTACTAACCCGAAGGATGGAGTAAGGAATGGAGTAGGAACATCCGGATTAGTAAGGAAGGAGGAACATGATCAGCGTCAGTGTGCAAGAGGATCCTGGATATGACATATCAAATCCATCTATCTCTTCTCATCGAAAGCGACGCGTCATCGTTCCGGTCGCTCAAGCAGCAGGTCCGACGCTGCCCTATGTTGCTGGGCTACATGGTGCGCGACGTGTGCGGTAACTCGACATCGGGTCCTCGATTTTTACTGCGGAAATACGAGTACGACGCGTTGTATATCACAATATGACACTCCAACTCCTGTGGAGCAGAAACATTCAGGTAAGGTCTTAGTCGAACATCTGCAGCACTGGAGCCTCGCAGCTGCAGCCTGTAGTACTGACCCAAATTTACAGCCACGGAAAAAACTCCGCTTATGACCTCCAGGTTAGCTCTCCGTTCTACTACTTGAGGAAGATGAATGCTTCAGCTCCTCTGTGTGGAAACGAAAAACGACGCTGGACGACGAATGGGGTGCAGTAGCTGTGATACTACTGGCGTGGCTCTGAGTCTGATTCATGATTCCTGTGTCTCTTCCACTTCGAGTGGTAATGCAGATGACCGGTCATGCAGAAGCTCAGCCACCTGCAATTTTGCCGAGGTCATCTCGTAGCTTCGAACAAATTTTTTCGAACAGGAGTTAGACTCAGCTTTAACCCATCCTGGTCCCCTCATCTCGACCCCTTTCTCCTTGTATTTCATGAGAATACAAGGCAAAAGGGTACCAAGATGCCGAGAAAAATGGATAAAAGCTGACCATAAAGTAGGTTGAACGCCTGCACAATATTCTCTCCCGTTGAAGCAGAGAGCTCGAAATACAGAAACCCGTTTTCCGTTGCAAATTGCTGGCCCTCGCTGCTATGAAAGGGGGACTCCTAGTAGTTCTCTGCCCTACATATTATAATGTTAGTGGTTCTTGTTTGCCCTTGATATTATAATGTTAGTAGTTTTTGTTTGCCCTTGATATCATAATGGACTAGAAAAAATAAGAATGATCTTGCTCTTCTACTTCTTGTTCATCTGATTTCAATATGCACGAGTTTTATGCGTTAGAAGAGAAAGTCGTGATTTACTCATGGGAGGTTAACAACGAACATCACCAATCTTCATCTTGATCGTGATCCGCAGTTGTTCTAGAGCAAGCAAGTCAATCGTGGCACCACAACAACTAGTACCTATGTATACTGAACTGAAGGAGCACCACTACAACTTTACTCATCAAACTCAAAAATTGAAATTCTTGGTCGAAGAAGTTCACTATTCTCGTCCATAAACTTTCGACACCTGCCTCCCGGCTACATCGCACTTATTCGCGCACAACAAGCATACAGCACTGCTGAAATTCAAACCGTGTGAACGGGCTTCCCAAACCCATGACGCTGTAGTTTGGTAGAGATGTCACAGCAGCACTAATCTACTCCATCTAAAATTTACTCAGGATGATCATTGGTAACAAGACTGGTTCACGTTCAGTCGTACTCGCAGCTTACCTGCACTTTGCTGATGTTCACTTATCTATTTTTACTCTAAGTACGGCATTGTAAACGTAATCATAATTCTTCAAATCATATGAATTATTCACTAATTCTAATGCACAAGAAAAAGTACATTGCAATTTCTTGAATGTCTCCGCATTCGAAGCATCGTAGCACATGAGAACGCCTTGTGAATTTTCGTAGAATTCGGTTCGTATATCGCGAAAATCTTCGTGACCGCTCAGGTCGAAAAAGTTTACTTTCACACGCTCTTTTCCGATGTCTGAAGAAAGTTGGTTCAGATTGTGCGTCTATGCAGGAAGTTCTAGTTCACCCTGTACAACAAGTACATGTGCAACTACAAGTACAGGCGGAAGATAAACTTACCTCCATCACTCATTCTCACAAGCGCAATAAAGTTCTTGCTTCTTTGTATGTTGCGTCAAGTTCTAGCAGAAAAGTTGATCGTCTTGGTCTTCTATTATAGAACGAACCAACTACTATTCTTGCCCACGTAGAGGAACGCAGCTCAGTGCTCATTGCAGTAAGGAAATGGAAAGTACTAACGCCCTTGACGCCGTAGTCCACTCCGATTGTTGAGATGTATCGCGGAACAAAGCGACCCTCGCAGAAGCGTTTGATGAGACAGCTCTTTCCGGAATTACTTGGGCCCATTGATATGACCTTGACTCGCGTAGCTGGTCTCGTTTCGCCACCGGAAGATGTCGCAGCTTGCCTCTCTTCTGTCATCGCCTGATACTTCGCGCTATCCCACGCCGCACCGCGAAAAGGCCTGCTGTTCGTGTTTGCTGGTGGTGGAGGCTGTGCTTGTTGAGGATGAGGACCACTACTACTGCCTGTACTTGTACTACTGCCTGAAGATGAAAATGAAGATCCTCCTCCAGGCCCCGACGACGTTGTAGAAGATCCTCCACCAGGTGCACCAGCAGTTCCAGGGTTATACGATCCACCTGCTGAACCTGAACTGCGCACTCTTTTTAGAGCATGCCCCAATTATATATCCCTGTAGAAAATCCTCATCTAGCTATAATTTTTAGGTCTTTTACTGCTGTACCCGCAAGAATATGCTGTGTTACTGTAGTCTCTGTGTCTGTCGTCTATAAGTTTCTAATTGGGGCTGTGCCTGTATAACTGGGCTGCATAAAAAGTATTTCTGAGGGAAGATCTCAATTCATATTGATTTGAGGGACTTGATGACGCGAATCTATTCGGCAATCTACCTAAGATTTCCCTCACCTATCTAGGACTAATCTATCCTAATGAGGGAAAACTACCCCGCGGTTATGTTTCTTTATCTATGTGATGTCTCTGGGAAAACCTTAACCTTTGGACCAACTCGGATCGCTCGAAACAATCATCATGGCGGATTCCCCAGCTCTCTAGCAAGGCCTTCAAATCCTTCGCGGATAGCTCGTCCAGATTCGCCGGAACTCCTCTTCGTGATGCTCCTGCGCCACCAGGTCCTGCGGCACTATTAGCGCCACTAGCATAAGAACCACTCGTCGCCGTAGAGGACCCGCCGCCTCCACCAGGCTGTTGTTGGGAGTTGCGTGCACGATACGGTGGCACTGCTCCGCTGGTTCCCCCGTTTATTAGACAACTTATTAGTTTTTTCTATGCATTATAATAAATTCATCTGTACTCATCTTCAACTCCTTTTTCTTAATATCAATTTCAGTATTGCTCATCCTCATGAAGTGGAATTATACTGTTCTTCAGAGAGAGAGATGCAATCAAATCCAAAGATGAACAATTATCTTCACAGATCATGGTGTTGCACAACCAAGAAAGATTAATTAGTTACGTTAGGTTAAGCTCAGGTTAGGTATTGGAGGTCTACCAGGATCAGTAACAGAGGACATGGTTTGCTACTGAATTAGTGAGTAGATTTGATCCTTTCTTGCCTTAAGTTGAGGCGTAAAGAGCGATCGTAGAGCAGGCGCTTGCTCTCATCGTTGAGGGTCTCGTAGGCGATACTGACCTCCTTGAAGGTCTCCGCATCCCCGCCCTTGTCCGGATGATGCTCCAATTAGAGCTACTGCCTTAGCATTCCTGGGCGCATCCTTAGGCCCTTTTTTATTTTCAAAAAGTTGTCTTTATATTAAAATTAATGTTATCCTTGGCCCTAATTCAAGTGCAAAAAAAAGAACCAAGGATCATCATGAAACTAACAAGATGAAATGCTTGACCGGCAGCCCTAATTCAAGGCCGCTCTCTTATACGCCTTTTTCAAATCATCTGCACTGCAGTCCCAACCAACGCCAAGTAACTCGTAGTAATTCATCTTCTTGATCTTGTAGAATTTGCCACACGAACATGAGCTTTCAACGATCTTCTTCAACAGCAACGTTAGAGATTTCCAAATTCATTCAGTCACGCTACCCGCCTTTTTTTTAGGACGTTTTTTTAGGACGGCTGAGAGAATAGTTTGCAACCTCTACTCCTCGTCTAATACTCTTCTACTGTGTCTCATTTTTATCTTGTAGCTCAACGTCTTCATACATAATGATATTTGCAGTGGACGAGCCCAAACTAGAAAAGAAGAAACTCAAAAATCGTTGTGATTGTGAATGAGAGTGATATTCTTGATAGATGAAATTGGTCGGTATAATGTAAAAATGTGAATCAAATATAAATAGGAGGACTCGTTGAAGTTGTACCACGACTACGTTTAGAGTTAGACTTCTATATGCTTACGTAGCACCAGGGGAAGAGGTCGCCGTTGCTTCCGGGGTACAACGTGGGAATCAATTATCAGGTCTTTTTCCGAGCCGATGTTCGACACTATTGACCGAAACACAAATAAGACACTCAACAAGCGATACATATGCACAGACTTTGCGCGACGTTTCATGCTCTTTGATGCGATCACGCCCAGCGCCAGCACGCCACGCCTCTACAACGAACCACTGAATCGAAGCTCATATCGATCTCGATTACGTCAACTTTTACTTTTGTTCTGGGTTATGAAGCTACAACTTCTATACTGACGTATAACACCCTGTTTGCCGTCACTAAACCCGTCACTCTCACTACAACTCGAGGATAATGATCCTGCTTGCCCCGACGCCGTCACTCAACGCGATAAAAACGACAATGATCATGCTGGAGCAGCTCTTGGAATTCAAAAAAAGAAGAGTACTATTCAGATTCTGAGTCAGAGGGTCTCCACCGCATTTTTTTTCGTATTCTGGGGCTGTTAGAAGAGTGGCCGCAGCGTTATCCAGTTCGCAAACTGGCGGCAGGTGGAGCCACGCGCCACAAGACTATGTCGAGCAGCTGTATGTACTCAAGCGGATACACCGATTGCATCAGTGAGTCAAAGAGCCGAGTACCAAGCAAAACAGATGCTTGTAGTACTCCCCACTGCTCATATAAAAACCTATATTTGAGCCTGATGTGCACGTGAGGAAATTCTTGTGGTCGTGATGAAGAGGGTAAGTACGTAGAGGTGTGTCAATCCTTGGGGTTGCGGCTGGGGTTACGGTGGGGATAAAGATAGTTTGGATTCCGTTCGTCTACGTCTTCTAATGACATATTTACTCGAAAAACTGAAATAAGCGAGCAGACGAAATAATAAAAAAGAAAGCCCTTAAACAGTTCACTTCAAAGGGTCAACTTCTAGTGGGGACGCCCGACTACGCCCTTACTTTCAGTCTGAAGCAATTAGATGCGCGACCATCCAAGCAGGGGAGTTCTTCGCGCAGTTCCAGTTGTTCAGCTTAAAATGGGACTTGAATTCGATAGCGGTCTGTCGTTCATGAATAAGAACGGCCATAAAGAAAGAAGAGCTCAGAGAAGTAACTTAGATTTCATGACATGAACATGATAGATAAAAAGCCAAGGGAACAGCGGCTGCGCGCCGGAGGCGCGCCCCCGCTCTCCAAGAAGATCTCGAGATCCGCTACGCGCCGGCACGCAGCGGATCTGGAGCTGCCTGGGAATCTCGAGATCCGCTGCGCGCCGGCGCGCAGCGGATCTCGAGATCTCCTGGAGAGCGGGGGCGCGCCTTCGGCGCGCACCTCCTTTGGAAAGCTCCAGAACAGCTGGAAGCAAGACAGCTACGAGCGCTCTTTTCTCCTTAGAAGTGAGCCCCTTCGTTCTAGGGGTTTGAGGGATCTCGAAGTGGCATCGGCGACCCCCCCTTCGAGATCGTCTGCGCGGCGACGCGCAGGCCATCTCGAGATGGTTCACCTGTACCAAACCATTGGTTTGGCATCGGATGAGCGTCTGGAGATGCTCTGCGCGTCGCCGCGCAGGCGATCTCGAAGGGGGGGTCGCCGATGCCACTTCGAGATCCCTCAAACCCCTAGAACAAAGGGGCACACGTCTAAGGAGAATGGCCTTTCGTAGCTGTCTGGCTTACAGCTGCGCTGAGGCTTTCCAAAGCAGGGGCGCGCCTCGGCGCGCCCCTGCTTTCCAGGAAGTCTCGCGAACCGCTGCGCGCCGGCGCGCAGGGTCCGGAATTTTGGCTCTGTGGGGCGAGTGTTCCACTAGGCCAAAACCCCGGACCACTGGCCCGGAATTTTGGCCCTGTGGAACAGATCGCCCCCGCGGCTTCTTCCACAAGGCCAAAACCCGGGGCCACTAGTCCGGAACTTTGGCCCTGTGGGGCAGGTCGCTCTCTCGGCTTGTTCCGCGCACAGGGCCAAAACTCGGGGCCACGCGCTCCGCTGACAGCTCCACTGGTGTCCGACCTAAGCCCGCGATGATGTCCTGCCTTCGAACCCGTTTGCGAAGCAGTGGCACTACCATAAAACAGACGGAAAAGTAGTCGACTTCTACCTTAAAGTCGAAAACTAAAAAAGGGCCCCCTCTTTTATTTTTTACTCAACTCGCTTATTTCAAGTTTACGAGTATATTGATCATGACCCGGGCCACATCAACTGCGCGTCTTCATGAACAACCTGCTCTCTGTCTCCGTCTTGCAGATCGACAATAGTCGTACGATCACTATTCTTGGTCAGCAGATCAACCTGTTCAAGCCACATTCCAACTCTTCACCTGAATGCTTGCTGGGTCACAGCAACGAGATGAGATATTTATCTTCATTCATTCTTCTACTTCTTCATCATCGAAGGGAAAATAGTACCCAGTGCTGGTGGAAGTGGTCATAATTGAAATTCATTCAGAAGGCCGTCTTTGGATCCTCCCGAAATCATCATCAGTATTACAGCCAAGAAGCATCCACAAGTTCAAACTAATGAAATACAAAAGCACACTCACCCCCCTAGATCGATGTAAATTACCTCCCGCTCCCGCAGATTGTAGTTGTAAGTATTCAAAAATATTGGTGTACAACGAGGAAGTATTCAGGAACAGACAGATGAGCTTTTGTTTTTGATTATCTTTACGACTACCTCGTCTACCTCTACCTCGTCCTTTGATTATAACAGATCAGTGAAGATGTGTACTTTAATAATATATATTGAGGTGAAATAGATTTAGGTGGTCGTGAGGCTGTCTTCCTCTTGAGAAATCGACACAGAATTATACGCCTTGTTGACGTTGTTGGAAGTTTGATTGTAGATGGTGTTTGACATCTTACTGAGAATGACATTGAGGTCAATTAGTATAACAATGGAGATGCCGAAATGCCACCCATTTTGAGAGTTTTTCCTTCCCATTCTTGTGAACAGATACGTGCTACGTGCTAGTATACGACATGGATTTTTCTCAGGACGTCATATCGACCCCGCGAATTCATCATACAACATAGCTAGATGAACAGAAGCGGCCAAAAAAATGTACAATTGATCAAGAAATCCTGCATCCAGCATCAACAGACAAATATTACATTCAAGATGGATCGAAACATGACAAGCACAACTACAGATGAAACAAAAAAGGAAACAATTTCGGTGTAACAACAACAACAACAACAAGAGAATCACAATCATGACAAATGAAAAGGTACAGGACTCGCTCCTATATCCATTCCACGAAGATACAGATTATACAAAGTACTTCTACAACTACAACTGCCATATATTATGGCCAGGCCTTGTCATTGATTATACCTAACGAGGCTTGCATTCAAGTTCAACATGACTGCGTCCGCCATCATTTCGTCATCTTTTCGTCTGGTTCACGACCACTTCACTTGCGGCCTTTTTCACGACTTTCCTTGCGATCTTCGTCTTCTTGGAGATGCGGTGGTGGAAAGTAGCCAAAGCCTGAAGAGTTGATTCCTTCGACACTGCGTTGCGGCTCGAACTGAGCAAACTGGGCCTCGTCCCTTAGAGTCGGCCTTTTCTCATCTTCATTTCGGTCCCCTCATCTCGACCCCTTTAGCTTTACTATTACTTCCTTGTAAAAATGATTCGCAGAAGGAATACAGGGGAAAAGTAGGGTGGCAAGATGCTGAGTGAGCTGAATAGAGGCGGACCATAATTCCTGTAGCAATGCGCTAGCAAGACCTTCACAGACAGCGGCAACGAGATGCAGCACGCCAAATACCGGACCCAGAGGGATCCGAAGCAGCGCAAAGGTAAACGACAACAAGGCGACTGATCGTCCCTAGTTTAGAAGTAGTAGGACATGACCTTGTTCCGCATCTAACTATCTGTAGTAAATCCATCTTTACATGTACTGCCACCTAAACCTATGTTCATCTTTGGCAACTTGCTCATTGTTCGTGCTCTTGAAAGCGGAAAGCCACCAACTAGAAGATGGTTAATGAGATGCTCATAAGCATGTCATGTGTCCTCCCCTCTGCTTCGCCGATAATCTTATCAACAATGCTAAAATAAATTGTACCTGTTGTACTAAGTTGAATAAAGAAATATTATGTTGAATTTGTCTTTGTGCAGTTTGTGGAAGCTGAAGCCTTAAGTAATCGTGCAAAGACGTCCGCGTCCATGCCACTAGACGGACAGTCGGAGTCACCAAACTGTCCAGGACGAGGCCTCGGATGCCAAAGATGAACCCTTCTAGAATGCCGTTCGCTTTCTGACGCGACGTCCCCAAAGACAACTTGTGCAAAAAGTTGGCTATGTTAGAGGACGAGGAGCCTTTGGACCTATGCATCTACGAAACCATTTTGGGAACATGATCTAGTAGTTCTCGGCACCATTTGTTCAATTGTATCCTTCTTCTATGGAAACAAAGAGGTTGCTTATAATATTATATATGAACATCCAAAAGGTGGATACTCATAATCCAAGAGGCTGTTGCGAACAAAGATGGATAAAATCAAAAGCTCATGTCATGTCGTGTTACCTCTTAGCCCATTCAATCAAATGGTATTCAGGCCTTTTCAGCCGACTTGTACCTTCTCAAAAGAAGACCAAATTCACATAACTATGAAGACGACTGTAATCAGCAAATTTCCACTTATTTCGGTCATCGCACGATAAAACCCTTCAGAGAAACCGTGTTGCAGCGGCACAATCCACCAATCCACTCGCTTGGGTACTTCGCGAAGCCAAAATACACCTTAGAAGAAAAGGCGAGGTCCTGGAAAATGTCAACAATGGTTAGGTTAGGTTATGGATCCTGCTGAACATTGAGCCCCTCCTGGAAATGTCAATGTGTAGGAGCTTCTACAGTTGTACAACTACAATCTGTGTTTGTTTGTTAAACCTCCAGGCACCCTGATCCATGATTTCCATCTTCCTGAAGATCATCCAGACAAGATCCACTTTCATCCTGAATTTTTTTTACATGCAATCCCCATGAAGATCATGCACGCAACCTGAGAAGACCTTTGCTTTCCCTTGAAAAGCCTCTCTTATACCTGAAACGATTTACCAATCTTTGAGACACGACTAAAGCCTCTTTGATGCAAACGACCTTGAGCAAAGCCTCTATGTCTATATATAATTTAGTTTCTTGTAGTATTGAAGATGCAAGAGGATAATTGCTCTTCTCATCTGCAGATCGATGCGCCATAAAGACGAATGCGATTTCGTCGTCTGTGCTGTAACAAGTTCAAGACTTTGTTAGAGCTAGCGCGTAGTTCGCATCTTCCTTAAGAGTCACATCCTTGGAGGCTTCTTTTTCAAGTAGAAAAGAAAGCAAGGATGAGGGCTCTGAGGATGCTTCCGCGGTAAGTAGCCGTAACATTGGCTGGATCCTCGAGACTGCGTTGGACAGGAAAGCCGCTACTAGAGGAGCTACCAAATACGGCGGTCGTCCGTCTGGTTGAGGAGGACACTCGGCGAGATGAAAATGTCCTCTGGCTTGACGCTCTGAAGGAAGAGGATATCGACCGGGTGCCCCTATTAGAGCTCAACAAAATCCACTAAAAAAATTCACTTCTTCTTCTTGCGTGCGTTTCCTCCAATCCTCAAATCCTAAGAGGATGCGGGAAACAGCAAGTGTAAGATGAAGTAACAGCATGCACTATTTGCGGTAACAGAGCGAACTTCAACTTTCAAACAGAAACTAGTAAGTAGGTGAAAAATCGTACTTGTGATTGTTTTGACTTGAGCCAAATAATGGCCAGAATAAATATGACTTGTACTAGAAAGAAATGAAATAATGAATTGTCTATCGAGCCTTAATTCTAGATCCGCCTGTTGCTCTACTAGATGTCGGTCTCATAGATAGGTTTTTACTCGACGCAGTTCTTGTTCTACTAGTGCTTCTGCTGTTGTGGAAGCCAGTGTCGGTCGTGTCCCCGTCGGAAGAGAAAGGGTTTCTTCGTCGCGGTCGTGATGCAGCACGGCTTCGAAAGGCGGCCAAACTAGACGGGCTCTGCACAAGTCCCTTCCTAAAATTTCTGTGGCTCCTGTAAGAGGAGGAATCATTGAACATGCCTCTCATCTGGTAGCTTTCGTCTTCGCTGGCAAAAGAGTCGCGGCTTCCTGATCTCTCTCTACGACTACAACAGGGACAACACAAACAGCAGAGCCACCTTCGCACAGTATGCGTCAAGCACAACCAGCAGTAGCCGTAGCTCGACACTGCTAGCATTTCGCTACTCATGCTTCCCCCAAGGGTTAGAGATCACCATATTAAAAGCGAAAATCCATTTCTGTTGTACAGGAGTACTCTGCGCGCGGCCGCGGTTTTTCCTTTGTAGTTGTATACTACTATAATAAATATACAACCAGTTCTTGAGGGACACTCACCAAATGCTAGGAGAAGAGATGGAGGATCATTAGAAGGAGCCATAAAAGAGCGGCGTCTTCTTCGCGCAGTATTTGAGCGATCGCCTCAGACTCATAGTCCGACTCATCCGAGAACAAATCTTCATCTTCACCATCGTACTCGTGAAGGTCATCATCTGCTCCACCTCTACCGAATGCGTAGGAGAATCCACGGAAGCTGCTACCAAAAAATCGAGAGGTTCGCCTAGAGCGTGCTGCTCGCGTCGTGCGACGTGTCAAGCGAGGGTCCTCGAGCTTCGTTGAAGACGCATATGCATTAGAGGAGGTAGGCCGCGAGCACATTTTTAAGATAAAATTGAACAGTCGTCGTGATGTTCGTGAAAAAGAAAATGGAACAAGAAGTACAAATAATACACTGTAGTTTTTGTTATTCTAAGAAGTACTTGTTATTGTACAACTCGTCCAATAAGAGCCTTAACTGCGCCACTTCTTTGATTCTGCGTGGTCATTCTCGTTGCCCTCGCAGAGAACCTAGAATCTCTGGTCGTCTCTCTGCCTTCTCCGCCCCCACCGGCAACATGAGAGACCAGCAGACCCACGCGGCGCCTCCTGCTGTGCTCAGTGAGTAGCTCGCGTTGGTGTCTTAGAGTTCTCCGCTGTTCATCTTTGTCTTGCAGCTGAATCCTTGAAAAATATGGGGGAGCTTTTCCCTCTTCCTGCGATAGCGACACTCCCCCATACAACTTTTCATTCTTCTCGGATGATGTTCGTTGATGGCCTTCTAGTGAGATTAAAAAGCTTTGAAGCAGAAAGAACACTGCAAAAATTCATGCTTGAAGTCTACATGTACATGTTCATGTACTCATCAGTGAGATAAAAAAATAGTCGTGAGAGGAGTCTTAATTGTAGATCGCTTTCGTGGGTGGCGATTCGTTGCTTGGTGTCCTCGAGAGCGGCCTCAATGTCCCGCAACTCGCGTTCCCTCAGCATCAGCGCAGCCAGCTTTCGCCTCTCCAGCTCTTTTCGGAAGGCTACAATCAAATGGTCATAAGGTCCCCGAACTAACCTTAGAGCTCACTAAAGCAGTTCATTACTTGCCTGCACTTCTCCTAATCCTAAGAAGGAAAGACAAATAGGAGCAAATGCCTTGTAGAGATGAATTGCATCGAGCCTTAAGAGCCAGTGCAAGCCGTTGTAGACCCCCTTATACGCTGTTAACAAGTAGGAACTCGCGAACGCAATTCCGGTTTCCCACACGATGCTTTTCAGATACGCACGCTTCAGTTGAGAGACTATCTCCCCCGAGCTGCCTACCTTATTACGCAATTCCTGGGTGCCGACGCGCAGAGTCAGATTCGGCATGTCGATGGGCAGGTACGACAAAAACACTATTAGACCTTAATATTTATACTTACTCTTGATAGTTCTCGACGCAGCTAGAGAGTCTCAACATCTTTGTTGAAGACGACCCTTTTCATCTCCGTGAAAAGAAACACGGCAAAGAAGACGCTTCTTAAGGAGAGAAAGACGAAAGTGGATAGATTGTAAGTGCTGCGTTGTTCTAGTTTATTACGGGGAGCCCCTGAAAGTGAAACAAGCGAAAACAGTGTCCCAAAAATATAAATATTCTATAAATATATAAAGATGGTGGATTTCCATTACGAAGATAAGCCTTAACGCTAATTTACGGTAATCCGCTGAGTCGCCCACATCGTGAGCATCGGGAGTCCGAATGTTCACCGTGGCACGCATATCATCGATCCTTAGCTTTCGAACTCGAAGAAACTTGTTTCCTTGCTGTGGGACAGCCGCTGGCAGGGGACGCGCTGCGACCTCGGTCTGATGCACACGACCGAACTTCTGATAATCGCGGAGTTGATGTCCCATTGGTGCGCCCGTTGTTCTTCTTGTGGTGCCTCCGAACTCGTGCAGGAGGAGCTCAGATTTTTCAGTGTAGCAGTTCCTAGATGTACCATGTTGTTGGCGAAAATGTTGTTTTCTTCGGGGTCCTCCGCTTAAGAAAAAACCATCGCTCATGTTCATCTGAGAGTGAAAAGAACCCTGCTTGTCTACGTGCTCACCGTCGTGTGACTTAAACCTAGTGAATTGCCGTAATCGCTGAAGCAGGCGAGGGTGTGCGAGGGTCGTTTTTGGCGGCAATCTGTGTATTTCCGTAGATGATGGCTCGTCTTGCCCTTGTTGCGTCGCAACCGGATTCCGGGTGAATGGAGCTGGATCATGTTGTGGTGGAAGCTCCACCTGCTCCTGCTGGTCGCCTGTAACTAATATGTTAATTTTTATGCGATCTTCACCGGTACCGGAGGCGGAGGTCCTCGTGTGGATCTCGTTCTCGTAGTTCATCGTGCTCTCTGTGGTCTCTCTCATGGTACTGAGATCTTTGAAATACCGCAGACGATAGTATTCCATTTGAAGCCGCTGACGCAAGCTTGGCGGAGTGCCAGACAGCAGCGAATCCAGCTGCGTCACTTCAGCGAGTACAACGGGGTCATCAACAAGCGCATTGTTGAGGTCCTCCGTTACTGAAGAAGATGATGCTCGTGCTTCACGTGGTGATGAAGATCCTAGTCCTTTTCCACCTGAGGAAGTAGCTGTTGCCGATAATATTGAAGACGCGCCATGACCCATGCTCCTCCTGCCAAAAGCACGCAAGTAGCGAGCCAAGGCGTCTGTGCCATTTTCTTGGCCACCTTGGCTTCTGATTCGACTACTTTTTTGACTGAAATTCATGCTACCACCACCTCCAATCCCAATGTGGTTTCCGTTTCCGGCGCCAGTATATCCACTGCCCTTCGACGCAGCTTCTACCTGTGCGATGAACGCCCCTAGGCCAGTCTGTTCGTAGAGCCGCAAAAACGCAGCAAGCTCCAAGTTAACCCACAATGGTATGATCTTCAAGCTGGCGGAACGGATTTCCGTGATAGACTTACTGCCTGTGCCACTCGCCTGCTGTACTGCTGGCACGCCACCAGTGGCACCACCATGTTGTTGACCATGATGATGCGCGTATATTACAGCTTCTGACGTCGATAGAAGTGCGCCGTCTCCTATTGCCAGAGGAGCCACACGACCGCCAGCACCAGGAGTGCCTGGACGAGGTGGAGAAGCAGCAACCACGACATTGACATTATTGTAGTTGCTCAACGCGGCGCTCGCCGCGGCGGGGTAGCTACTCGCGTCGCCGCTGTAGTTTGTGAGCGCATTGTTGCCGCCTAGTTCTCCGGTAACACAAAGTTTCGTGGATGTCGCGGAGCAGGACAAGACTAGGCGCATGTCCAAAGCGCGGTCGCCGAAGTGCCTACTATATTGATGCATGAAGCGGCGGTTAATCAACACAGGGATGTCGGCTGGACAGTAGTGATCCACCTGAAAATGGCGAATTCCAAAAGCCAGCTGAGGACAATACGCATCTACCACACCAGAACTTAGAAGAAGAAAAGGCTTACTTAGGTGAAAACTAGCAGTAGTACATTTCATGACTTTGACTATCATGATAATCATTTTGCGTAGAAATCGAAACGAAATGTCTCAAGAAGGATCCTTAACGAGAAATAAGGGTCGTCGACATCGTCCAGCATCTGTTCGGCCGCATCTAATTGCAGTGTCTCACTGTGATGCCAAAGATGCTCCTCTAAAATGCACTGCATCAAAGTTTGTTCTAAAATCTCCAAATGCAAAGTGTGCAGGTCTCCTACTCCACCTGTAAAGTCTCCTGGTTCTGCCTGTTGCGTACTGGTACTGGAGAGCAAGGAACTTCTGTTAGCTCTACTTCCGGAGGTTGAGACTATCCCTCCATGATGAGATGCACCATCCCGATGTGCTGCTATTCCGGAAGAACTAATAGGGTGTGCGTGGCGTTGCAACGAAGTATTTGCACCACCTGCCGTGGTCGGCCTCGCAGTATTGACCACGCCAGGACGATGTGCGGATGTCGATGTAGTAGGGGAGCGCCTAGTGCGACAGCAAGAAGCGCATTTCTGCATCCATGAGAGTGGAATAATCCATAGAAATGGGCGTGCGATGCACAAGCCCGCTGTTCGAAGAACCAAATACGGGAATCTGAGGCACCCTCTCACGGCCCGTGTTATCAGCCACGAATTACCCGTATTACTAGCGTCGTGCCGCCGCAGACCGCCAAAGACGAGGTTAAAAGGCAACGTGTACATGCTGTAACCTCCGTATCGGTTGGGTTGGTGGACACCTCCGACAGTGGAGCTATCAGGTCCACTACCTTGTCTTAGAAAAAAAATTCGAAAAAAAAAGTCGCACCATTCCTGGGAGCACCATCCTTCTTCTTCAGCCAACATTTCCGAAGTAGTAAAAAAAGCATCCGTGTTTGACTTTGACCGAAGAAGTAAGAACCAGCCGTGCTTCTCGGAATATTCTATCATCGTGAAGAATGGTACTGGTATTTGGTATAGCCTGATTTTGATCATGAGGAAAACAAGAAGGCCATCCTTGTGATTGAATTCAGGTTGCCAAATAGAAATACCAGAGCCATACACATCACCTGCAGCACACTTAAGTTACTCGTTCGTACATACTTATTCACACTTTTCCACGTTACTTTTACTTAGTAGGTAAGCGGAAGTTTGTAGTAGAAAATAAAAGATTCTCCCGAAGGAACGGTGCAGAGGAGAATCAAGATGCAAGTGCAACTGTCGTGATTATTCCCAATACAGCCATAACTTGGAAGTGAAGAAGCTTTTAATCCAAGAAAAAACGCCACGACCTTGGCTATTGTGGAGTTTGTCCCAGGAACTGAACTGACTTTGCTGATACGCTGCGGAGCCCATTGGTGCAAGGTGGAGACCCGCATTCAGTTCCTGGAAAAAGGCTTCCTCTCGACTGAATCCCTGGTCTGTACTGGACAGAGACGCGAAATTCTCATAGGAAAACACATCCCCTGACGACGCCGCGTTGCTTTGCCAGCTCGATGACTGTGCGTGTTGTGTTAGCAGTTGCAAGTAGAAGTACTGGACATGATATCTAAGTATCTCCCGAGTCTATGAAGTTGAATACTTTTGCTTTTGTATTATTTGGAAAGCGAAAGGGAAAGGTCGTCATACTAGATCTTCATGAAGAATATGCGCATTATATATACTAAGACTTTTGCTTTTGTATATGGATACAAAAAAAGGTCGCGCAAAGATACAAAAAAGTTTTCTATCTCCTAGGGAGAGTAAGTTTCTTGAATTCTAAGGCCAATGAGATTGTATATGGAAAAGTCTTAGATATGCGCATGGAATTAGAGAGTTCAAGACTGCTTGCAAGAGCAGCAACCCTTCATAGTAGTTCGCCTGAGAATCTGCCTCCACCGGGGGCACCTCCAACAGCAGTACCAAAACCATTCCGAAATGGAGTTGCTCCATATTGCTGATCCATTTCGTTTTGGTAGTGACTGTACGAGTTACGACTTATCATGGAAGTCTTATTAGAATTAGACCCTAAGTCTAAGGGCTCACGATTTAGATGATCCACCTCAGGAGTCAGATCATCTCGCCTAAAAAATGATCCAGCATCTTCTACTCAGTCAGCATCTTGCTGCCGCCAGTTTCTCGCTGAAAACGGGAGCAAGATGTTGGGAAAGATGGACTTGCTCAAGCCTTAATTGTAGTGGACCTGGAAGAGGACACGAAGGGAAAGTTAGACCTCGAGTAGATGACTTCGCCTTCGACGCCTCCGCTACTAGCAGGCGGATAGTAGGCATACTCCGAATGCTGTCTGCTGGTACCGCCGAGGGCTGTTCGCCGCAAAGCTACCAAAGGCTCAAACTCCACTCGGCGTCTGTAGTCGGCTAGTCTCGTATGAAGCCTCCAAGATCTATTATCATTAATCTTTATCCCACTTTTCTTCGTGAGAAACTTGAAGATAATGGTAACAGATTTTCGTTTCATATCTCGCGTATGTCGCTCGCGAATTCTCCACTCGTCTGCGCAAGAAGGCAGCCAGAGTTTCACGCTTCGTCCGCTTCCCACGACCAAAGACAGTGTCTACTATACCGTGAAACGCTGAAAATATGCTATTAGCGGCACGCGCAAATCCTAAGCTCCCTTTTCGCGTTGTGCGCACATTCGACGTTCCTGTGGCCACAGCGGTGCTTTTTTTCGATTTTTGTGCTGCGCTAGACACGTGTTGCGGACCATCTTCACTGGTACGATCAGCGGCCCCTATATCAATAGTTACCGTTTTTTGTTTTCGCCCTTTAACACTCGATAAACGGTCAAAAGATGTTGAGGAAAGATCGGCAGCTTTCTTATTGTTGGCGCCCTTACCGATATTTGTATTTCCTCCTTGTCCTTCTGCTTGTGTTGCTGTGTGTATTACGACTTCGTCTAAGACCAAGGGTGCGGTGTCCCGGTCCCCTCGTCTCTCGCTTTCTCTTGTGACAGTGGTTTGTCGGTCTAGCTCGTCGCGCGCCAGAAAGCTGTTCTGTCGTAAAATCGAAGATGCAGGAGCTGCAGATATTCGCTGTTCCTCCCCTTGTACTACATTTTGATGGACTTGATGTTGCTGAGCAGGATGTTCTTCGCCTATTTTGATCGTTGTCTTGTTCTTTGTTGTAGTAGTACCTAAGCTGGTTGTTGTTGCTCCGAGGACAGCAGATTGGGAGCCGCCGGCTCTTGGCTCAACAGCACTGGCACCAACGTGGTCTCCAGCAAGGTTTTGTTGCAGCAAATAGTCGTCGAACACAGGGTCCGCGATCGCGTGCACAACGAATTTTTTTGGGCGCGAAAAGTGGAGTGACCGACAGAGTGCAGAGGTAATTTGCGAATCTGAAATAAGACGGGGAAGTGTGTATCGCAAATCGATCGACTTCACCCGCAGGGCAAGCATCTCCCGCATCTCGTGAATCCACGAAACGCTCAAAAGGGGTATCTGCAACAAGAGGCCGTGTTTGTTTCTGGTGCGGTTTGCGCACTCGTCTCGGTCGGCCAGTAGGGTATGGCGCAGCTGTGCGAGGCATGTCGTCCAATTTCTTCCCACGAGAGGCGCCCCAAGCTCACCATCTCCCTCGTCTTGATCTTCGCGAGAGAACAGGTTTTCGTAGTACGCCTTGCTCGAAGAGAACCTGCTCGACGCCGATGCAGTTGAAGAACTTGATAAGACCGAAGATAAAGGTCGAGGATTGTAGTGACTAACCCCTTCGATCATAGAAGTCTTCGTGTTTGAGTCTGAGTGCTGGTTTAGGAACTGTTTATTGTGTAGTTCGTTTTCGACAACACTTGTCCCCTGATCTCCACCCTCCATTTCGGACGCGCGGTCCCTGTTCATCATGCTTTCGTATATCTGCTTAGGCACGGGTAGGAGAAGCTCTTAGCGCTCACCCTCATCTATCTTGAGAAGCATCCTGTTCCTTCCATTTTTGTCCTTGAAAACAAAGCCTCTTCAGGATGCTTCACAAAACGATCGACCGGGGTAGTAAGCCTTAAAGCTCAGTGTCTTCTAAGAAAGCGGCTGTTGGCCGCATTACCATAGCTGCAGCAAGCAGAGCATGTAGATCCTCAGTTGTGCCGATTTGTTCATTCAGCAGACTGCGCCGAGGCACGCGCGGAGCGTTGGCCAACTGCTCTAAAAGCATACGACTTATCACTGGCTGCGACCGCAACCGTGGTGGTCGATCGCTCACCTTCTGCATCTGTTGACTTCGTTTAGAAGTAGTAGCTATCAAAGATGTTGAGGTTCCAAACATCTTCTCATCGTCAGCACCTTTGGTGTTGATATTCCTTTGTTCATCTTTACTGTTTTGCTTCGTGCTTGATCTTGATGGTCTCTTTGTCGATGCTTCAACATTAGGAGTACCGCCATGTTCTGATCCTGGTGAAGTAGGGGCGGGTGAGATGGCGCTTGTGGCATTCAATTTATCGCTGCTCGTTAGATTGTGCCTTTTGTTGCGAGTCTTGCTTATCCCCCTCTGTGCTGGTCCTCGATGTGCTCCGGACAAGAATGAACTAGGTACACCTCCTCCTCGTCCACCTACTGCCTGTCGTCCCATCACGACAGCACTGCGTTGATCATGTGCCTCTGCCGCGCGCAATTGCTCGCGCAATAATTTGCTGCGTGCCCCTGGGAACTCCCGTCCGTACGAGATCAAGAAAACGGAGGCTCCGGTTCGTGGATCAAGTGTTTGGTGGAGATAGACGGCGTCGCCCTCGACCAGCATCTGACCTCCGCGAACGAGCCGTCGGCATAAAATCTTCCGCATAAGCGCGGCAAGCGCCCCTCGGTCTAACGCTTCCTGTCGCGAGCGAAACCGTCGCAGGACGGCTGGCAGCGAGGTCGGTGGCGCCCCCGTTCCCGTTGAAGTGTTTGTAAACAAGTGGTTATGGTTATCTCCCTGCTGACCCTGAAAATGATCCGAAGAAGATGAAGGTATAGGTAAGAGTCCCGATATTAAAAGTCCGCAGCTTTCCCTTTCGCTATGATTCGGATCACACGCTGTTGTTGATCGGAACATTTGGTGGACGAAAGTCTGATCGTCGTCATCTACCCGAAGCTCTTTTCGCGTTGACTCCTGCTCTTGCTCACCATCAACAATATATACGACCTTTTGGGACGTAGATCCTGAAAATTTTTTTTTTGCAATTCTAGAAGTATCTTGGAACAATGCTGCTTGCTGCTCCACAATGCAACTCTCTTGTTGCCGAGGAAGGCTCGCGGCTCCGTGTCCATTCGCATCGTCAAACGTTTTTATCAAAGACGCAGTTGACAGCATCTCCGTGATGGAGAGGCCATTTACTCGCGTAACTTCCCAGCCATTAACACTCCTAGGAGGATCTTTTGACGACGAGCCACCTTCAAAACTTGATCCCGAAGATGAAGCTTCACCCGCACCCGGCATCGCACTGTAATTGTTGTGGGTGTAAGCGCCGGATGGTCTTGATGCCGCGGACGTGGGAGGACCAAACAGGTCTTCGACGCGAGAGGGCCGTGGTGGCGGTTCACCATAATTGGAGCTCAAAGTATTGCTGTTCGCGCGCTCTAGTTTCAATGTGGGTGAGGGGGAAGAGACTGTGCGAGGAATCAGATCACCAGTTAAGGGATCTATTATCGGAGAATGGAGTTCGTCTTCGTTCTGGTCTTCGAATCCTCCGTATTGACCACGCAGTCGCCGAGGCAAGAGTGCGTTCGCCCCGCCAGCCGGTGAAGATGAACGCAAGTAGTTTATGTTCGGGCTCTGTGACCCAGCAGAGGAATGCGAGGAGTCGGCGCCAGGGCTGAAGTTTGAGTCCCGGATGCGCGTCATCTCTACAGCGCTCGGGAGGTGACGCGTTCCTGACGAAGGCAACACTACTTGTCGCGGCCCTTCTTGCTCCGCTACTTCATCGTCTGCCGACATGTAGTTGAGTTCTTCATCAAACAGCTTGCGCTGTGCTTTAGTCTCGTTACCATGATCGGTAGAATCTCCGTGTGCTTCTGCCGGCCGTCTCACCTCTTGCCGCGCATTAGATTTGCCGTCCACGTCGTTGCCCCCATGCTTTGGCTTCTCCTTCTCACGGCTGTCAGGCCTTGGCCTTCTACGGCCCGTATGATCGAGGAGGTTGTGGTCTACGGAGGTAGGTGCTGGATTGCTGTTCTGCACTTCGTAGACGAAGATGGATACGTCCTGAGTCCTTTTCGGGAAGCCACCTGCTGTAGTAGAAGACATATTGTCTTCCGCATCCGGCCACTCGTCTCGCACGTCCACGATGACATCGTGTATACGAAAGAGACCTGGAATGAGTCCATATTTGTTCGGATAAGCATGCCAGCACTGACGACGAAGCTGTGGCACAGTCTGCTTACGTTGATCGTCCTGGATCTTTTTGCTGCTACTAGAACCACCAGTGGATGATCTAGT